TCCCGTGCAGTGATCATTTTGGTATACGGAAAATTCCCATGTTGCGTTTGGGATGGCGTGATGCTGGTGTTGAATGAAAGGTAGGGCGTAGGCTGTGCCGAGGAGGATAAGAGCATTGAAGAGGATTTGCATGATGTTGACCGTGTGTGTGTGTGTGTGTGTGTGTGTGTGTGTGTGTCTGTGGATGGTATTCGCGTTCTCGGTGGTTTAACTGCCGCAAGTCGGTTGGGGAACGGAATCTGATTCTTTCACCTAGAGGTCCTGATATCAGGTAAGCGTCGCAGCCTGGAGTAGTTGGTACGAAACAGATCACAACAGATCTGAACAGAAACAAAAGAGTCTTTGACTGGTTTAGAAAGTTTACTTTGGATTTCACTATTTAATATTCTCCCTGGAGACCTCAATCGGCAAGGGGCACCATAAGGTCTCCAAATATAGCCCACTTACCCAGAACACATATCACCAAGTCTGCATATGCCAGGGTTTCAACGGTGGATTCCATGGGCCAATATTTCCTTTCAGTCGTGTCCAGGGAAAGGTGCATATGCACTATCCCTTTGGCCTCATTTCCTGTGGAGTGGCGAGTGTAGACCATTGCGCTTATTCTCAATTATCGAAGTTCATATGTCCGCCTGGAGAAAGTCGAAAGTTGGATCAAAGGTTGATTCTTCTATTCCCGGTCCTAAATCCAGTACCCCGGCCGAACCAAGGCTGTGATAATCGAGGACCTCGGAGTATCTGCAAATTCTTAATTAATTGTATGGTTTGCAGAATCAATGACAACGCACATCATAAGTTTCCATGTCTCTAGAGGAAGATCGGCATCATTGAACGACCAGTCAAATTTCTCTACAGCTGCAGGCTCGTCGTCGGGATCATGGTAAGGAGCAAGATAGGGGTGTTGCAAAGCGGCCTCAGCTGTTAATCTCTTGTCTGGGTCAAACAAGAGCAGCTGTTCGAGGAGGCTGATGGCTGTTATAACAAATGAGTCCCCTTAATCGTTGGTTTATTCAAGTTAAGGGGTTATTACCATCGTTATTAAATCCGTGGAACACAGCCTTCAGTGGACGTGGCTCCTGTTTCGGTAGCGAATTGACGACCCGCTGAGTCTAGAAGGCCTTTCATGTAAGTGTCTAACTTGGCCTCTTGTAAGACAGGAGTGAAAAAAACTCACATTTCCACTAGTAATTTTCTGAATTACCTCTGGAGGTGGGTTCCCGAGCACTTCTGTGATCAGGAAGAACTGGTTAATGTGGTCTTTCCCTGGAAACAACGGCCTCCCTCGAAGCATTTCGGCGAGAATACAGCCCGCGCTCCAGATATCCACCATTTTACCATATCTCTGCCATGTAAGCATGATTTCCGGTGCTCGATAGTACCTCGTCGAGACATAACCAGTCATCTGAGGTTCTTGTACTCGAGCCAAACCGAAATCGCAGATCTTTAAATCACAGTTCTCATTGATCAGGAGATTGCTTGGTTTCAGGTCACGGTGTATGACGCCGGCAGAATGGATATATTTCAGTCCGCGCTGTAGAAGGTCAGAAAATCTCTATCAGATCATTACCTATACGAGAAGTAATACCAATATCTGGTACATGAAGTATTGAGCAAATTTATTGTCCAGGGGCCTTGCCCTTAAGAGTCGGCTGAGATCAGTCCCCAGGAGTTCTGTTACCAGGTATCTACCAAAGCCTGGCATCAGTACGCTGTGAGGGATTGCCTCCAAGATAAAACTAGGTATAAGTAGAATTTTTGCCATACGTACATGTCCTCTAGTGGAGAGATAAAGATATCGCACAAGCCAATAAGCTGCCTCACGTTAGCGTTGCAAGCGTGTCACGACTGAGGGGGTCCAAACATTCTCATGGCGCAACTGTTTCAGAAGCTTGACCTCTCTATATGTCCGCTTTGCAATGGAAGCGTTGACAAAGGGGTTTATCATCTTCTTGACAGCGACATGTTGCTGAGTTATTTGGTCATATGCGGAACTGAAACCCCTTTTGTTAGCCTGCAAAATCAGAGGTCATGGTCGCTTTGGACCCAATTTCAGGGTAGTAGGTGTAGTATATACCACACAAGTCCGAACGCACCCAAACCGACCGGTTGCACATTTGCGTATCTGATGGAATGTTATTCTACACCGTTACAAAGTATCTCACCCATGAAGGCCAGTACCTGTTGGTGGTTTCGAACGTAGTACCCAAGATTTCTGCACGAATAAATTCCATGCTGTTGTCCAGGATCGACGTGACAGTGGTGCCGGGTTTCTAAAAAAAAAAAAGGGATAAAATAAAATTAAAAACAAGGCCCAGAATAAAAAGGAGAACAGAAAAGAGGGATTGAAGACGTCAGCCCTGCCTTTTCCCACAATGACGGGGGATAGATTCAGTCGAGACTTTCGGCTCGTTGTAGCGTAAATGGAGACCACCGTAAGGCCACCAAATGGGGAATTCCAAAAGCTACCTTGTCCGCCACTTGTCCCTTGTGGGTTAACGGAATAAGACGCGTGAAAGAGAGAACTGCCGTTATCCATCCGTAGGCCTAGAGGGCTCATGTCACCCAGGAACTGGCCGCCCTGATTGGCGGGATGAGATGCCACCAGCAGGGTGCCCCCGAATCAAGGCAGCCAGCGAGTTTTTGGTGCAACATTTCTCACGTATCCACTCTCCTTATATCCACACTCGAGCCAGATGGACGGAGCCCCTATATTTGGGTAGCCCATAGTCCTTGTCAACCGCTGGCGTGCCAAATGTCCGTCCTGGGTGCCGGGACACATTCCTCCCGCTGCCAGCTCACTATGCAACTCAAGGTCTCATTTGCTGTCAACTCAGATCATGCCGAGCTGTTATGCTCGCAGGGTAGAAAGAGCAAAGAAAAAACATCATTGGAGTCCATTTGAAGTGAAGCATGCCACTCGACTAGCCACCGCTCGACTCTTATTGCCACTGGATGCACGGCTTACCACAACTCCCCAATCACAACCTGTTGCGAATCTTCCCTTTAACAACTGACCGAACACAAAGAACACTGTTCGTATCATTTCTTCAATTCTACTGACAGTACGACCCCGAATATGGTTTCCGATGTCCGGAATTATGTTCCGAAGTTTGCCACACAGCCTTAGGACAATGTTTCCAAGACAGTTCATTCGCGTGGATTCGACTTGACAGGTACGAGTCTTACAGGTTGATATACAAACGTCTTCTCACATTATATCAACCTCACCAAGTTCACCACAACAGTCAGACACCTCACTTCTCGACCAAACTAGTCTCCATGTGAAATTAGAAACTGCCAGCCGACTGATGTAGAAGCAGACCTCGCTTCTCAATCACATATATCGAGCGTCACAGATCGAAGCCACCACTCCACGGTTCATGAGAACCCCGTCATGCTCTTCTCAACAGTCAAACACCCTCCTTGGCCATAGGAACCGCGACGATGGAGCTCACAGCCACCGCGAGCAGAGCGTGCCCACAACGAACCGAGAGAAGTGTCTTTTTCCTTTGGCTACACCAAGCGTATTGCATACGAGCCAGTGCTCACCGCTTATTTTCTCCAGGGTTATTTCATTCACCATGGCCCCTATACCCCCAAAAGCATCTCAGCATCTCAGCATCCTAGCATCGCAGTATCCCGGCACCCCAGCGCTCGGTTCCCGGATCCACCACGTTAGGGGGAAAAAAGAAACTTAACAAACCAGAACACAAGAGGCGACACAAGCCATTCCCAACGAAAACACAGCAATGCATGTGAAAACACACCCTACGCCACCCAGCTCGCTTCCAAGTGGACTAACGTGAGGCTCCGCAAGCCCTAGATATCCGGCGACTATTCGGCTATTCCACGGTAGTAACTCGGTAGCTGTCAAGAGCTAGCCTTCGGAACCATAGTTCCAGAGACCCTTCTTCAGGACTAGGGGAGCCCGCTATTGCCTACGAAGCTCGTCAATTTTAACACCACATATTGGGTGGCTGTCAAAGGCTAGGTAGACGTTTGTCTTTCTCTTCAGGACTCTACCTGATACCGAGGTACATACATGCAGATTGGTATTGTGCACGCCACCATAGAAAAGAATGAGCAATACGCCACCATGGGTGGAGCTTCAATGACATAGTCCTACACTGTGGCGCATTTCGGTTCTGTTGGGCCAGACCTAGGTGCTAGCCCTTTACCAATTTTGAGAACTACGGTGGGCTGCTGCGTGAGATTGGTGAGGGGCACGTATCGGCCATTGTGGCAAACGCCATTCTGCTCTGATGTATTATCATCGCGATTCCCCATAATTGGGAGAGAAAATTTGCTCAAAGGGGGAAAGTGGTAGACAAACACACATCTACTGGTCCGCCCAATTTCTTAGCAACGTTAAGATAGGTGGTAGGCACTAGTGGTAGGGTTCCGAAACGCTCCTGTCAGGTACTAGTACATCCCTGTGGTAAAAGGATCATCACCGCCTAAATAACCTCCAATCATATGCGTTGTGGAGTGTGGCAGAATTTGAGTGTGGGTGGGATGGAAGCATGGATGACTAATATACGGAGTAGACAGCCAATAATTGTCGATCTTATCATGAGGACAGAGAGTTGGTGGTGGCAATTATCACTGCCTGATACTCCAAAAGCGGCAACCTGCGCCTTTGATCGACACGATACAAAGCCATGTCGTCATAAGATGGGGTGAGTGACATACTGGGAGCCACCACAAAGGAGAAGAACACGGCCTGGAGGAGCCGACTTCGGCGGAAGGCGTCTAACCTGATCAGCTAGAGAGTGAGAGGAGATCAACTTGGTCCTTGCCTTATCGATAGGCATAAGCCCTATCATGATGGCCTGCAAATTATCTTAACCTAGATCACCGGAAACGTAAAAAAAGTGTAACAAGGACACGATCTGTTTCTAGCGTTTATTTCTACGGTGTATAAAAGACAAGATATATACAGCCTAACAATCATGCATTGACAATTCATTCAGGCGATCATCGATGATACAATACATTATTCACTGCGTTTTCTTCGTCGTCGACGCAGTAGATGTGGGCGCAGAGTAGAGCCACACGATGACGAAGGCCAGGAAGCCGCCGATAACAGACCAGAGGCCAGCGATCCAGACCCATCCTCCGCTGATCTTCCAGCTGCGAGGATACTCGTTGTGAGCATAGTGGCGGACAGTTACCTCGTGCTTCTCCTCGATATTGGTGAGGAAGGGACGCTTGTAGTTGACACGGAAGGAGAAGATACCGTGTTGGTCGGGGACGGTGAACTTGGTGCTGTAGATGGTGCTGTTTTCGGTCTTGGTGGAAGGCTGGAGGTCGAGGCGATGGAAGGGAGACAGCATGGTGAACTCGAGCTGAAGGGCGTCATTCTCGGGGACCTCGAACGGCACATACTTGTCGTAGCTGTACTCAGAGACCTCAATGCTGAAGACCTGTGACGAAGTTTTGTCAGTTCATTGCTAGCGATATTTTACAATTGTGTGGCAATCGTGACATACTGTTTCGTTCTTGATCCGGTAGATCTTAGGGTTCAGTTCACCATCCTGGGCTAGATGATGCTCAATTTTGCCAACCTTGAGGACTCCAGTCTCCTTGAAGGTCCAGGCGGTCAGCTGTTTGGCAAACTCCCGGTTAGCAGTCTCAGACTCCTTTCCGTCACCAGGACCCTTGACGGTGGCGGAGAACCACTTGTCCTGGAGACTCTCGACGGAGCCCAGAAGAGTGAAGCGGGCAGAATTCCGGGCTTGCATGGCCGAAACAAGAGCCAGCTGGGACCCAGAAGCAAGAACATCCTCAACCGAACCTACATCCTCCTTGGGGTTGTAGCTATAAGCAGTTGCCGGGGCGCGCAGGATAGGCGCAAGAAGTGGGTTGGAATCGCCGAGAGTGTGGGGGGCGGCCCTTGGGAAAGCCAAAACACCCTCGCCGTCGAAGAAAGCCTTGGTGTCACGTCTCAACTGGCCGGGCCGTTGGAGCAGGAGAACATCGTGCTTCTCATCTGCAGAAAGTTTGTCATAGTTGAAGTGATCGACAACAATGGAGGAACGGTCGGTAGACAGATGGAGATCGAGTTCCAACAGGAGCGAGCTGATAGCGCTGGGCGTGGTGGACTTGCCGGAAAGGGCGAGAAGGACGTTGCCGTCTTTGTTCATGAATTCGATGAGGTTCTTGGGGCTCAAAGAAGGTCCAAAGCCTGCATCAGGAGTCAATTGATTTGCACTATGGACCAGATCATAGTTTCAATGGGACAGTCTGCGAACCTTTCGACCGAGGAGGAAGGAGGAGGACATGGTCGTAAGCTCTCTCTCCGAGCTCAAACAAGGAAAGCTTGTCGCTCTTGGGCGACTCGAAAGCGAGGTTGTATCCCCGAGCTGTAAGACAGTTAGCATCAATTGCCTCCACCTGTCAATTGCACCTCACCTTCTAGATCTCCCCAGAACGTAGAATAAGCATCCTTCTCAGCCTCATCCTCCAGAACTACCAGTAGACGGTTTCCTGAACTACTCAACGCATGTACAACAGCCAAGAAGCCGAACAGCAGTAAGGAAAGACACCACCGCATCTTATAGGGATCCGCGCAGCGGAGCGAAAGAACGACGGCGAAGGATCAACAGAGGGAATACGTTATCAAAGCTGGGGTGAACCGGAGTTGTCATGAAGATCGATGAGTATGTAAACGGGCGACGTGTTTGGACCGAATGCCAAGACTCGGTCGCCGCTTTGGAATTGACGGGCGCATTGCATTGCCGGACTTTCGTCACTTTCAACCTCCCCTCTCCCCGTCGCACGTCTCAACCACGCACACCAACCCCCAATTGCCTTTCCCTGGACCCCCGGGAATCGCTCAGCTCTACGGTTAACCAATTGCACTCAATCAAGTGCGTTGTTCTTTTTATTCCCACCAGTACCGGCTACTCAACCGTCTCGCGACTACCGTTCCTGCGAAAAGTTTCTTTTAACGTCCGACTACTTCCTAACCCTTTCCTATCACAATGACTACCCCTCAATTCTGGTCGACGCCTCTTCGCTACCTTCGCTGGGCCTCTCATGAGAAGCCCGCTATCTTCTACTCGCTTGTCGTTGGTGCCATGGGGCCCGTCATGCTGGTGACTCTCCCCCCGATCAGACGGGCCTTTGGCGACGTTGACCCGGAACCCATCCCCCTCACATATCCCAGTAAGTTTATCTCTGCATCTTTCCCTGTTCTTTCTTTCTCCTGTTTCCGGATCTTCCTGAGGCATGGTTGGCTGACTTGACATAGTTCCCCAGGGACCCCGGGTTATCCCGCAGGGCTATGATGACGAGTAAATCCGCCTGTGACTATGAATGGAGTCCGTATCGATTTTCAGATTTGATTTTTACTTGGTGTATTTAGCTGGGAATTCGAGTCAATTCAAAAGACTACCTACCTACTCTGTCGGACATCTCCCGATTACACCGCCTATCGCCTGAGGCTGGGCAGGAGTTTTCGTGTTGTTCCGGGTTGATATCCGGATCAATGGCTTCTGGATTGCTCAAGATGCCCTTCTTGCCATTGCCCTATCAACCGTCTCTATACCCTCCCGGTCTACGGGCTTGGTGGTCAGCGTGACTGCTGTGTATTGTACAGGAAAAATGACTATAGAGCGGTGAATAATGCCATTTGTTTCCTATCCTATGGTAGTAGTCGGGGCGGCTATTCACCTGTGACTCGGTAATACTAATTCAATATATGACCGGTGTCGGGTATCCCAATGTATGCAAGCCAAATTTACCAAGTCAGTAGTGTTATTCTTATTCAGCTGTTGTCATCTCTTCATCTTCGTCAGCAACGGGAGTGTTCTTGTCTTTAGCCTCATTTCCATCTTCGACTTCGATCGATTCAATGTCAGTGATGTCAGTATCGACAGACAAAGTGTCAGTGGCAAAAGTTCCACTTGTATCAGCCGAAGTAGCCTCCGCAGAGGTACTTCTAGGCTCGGTAATATCATTATCTCCATCATCATCATCTGTCACAGCTTCGTAGTCAGATAAGAAAAGCTCCTCATCACTATCAATATGCCAATCACCATCGGGCCAAGTGACCCAAGGGAGTTCCTCGTCATCGACCTTGCAGCACGTCAGGTATGGTAGGTCTCCCATAAGATCAGGATCATAGTGACTTTCATTGATCAACAAAACAGAAACAAACTTGCTCATTTCACCTTTGAGGATGTTCAGGGCTTTATCAAGTATCATGGCCTTGTACGCACTCATGCGAAAAGCGTTCGTATTTGCCTGTTCCTCGGTATCTAGGTAAGCATCGCCTCCGGCGTAGATTGCACGATAGAAAGCGGCACCACCGTCACGAGCATAATAGGTACGGTTTTCGGCGACCGCCATACAAAACCACTGGCTATAGTAAGTCATTGCCGTCCACATCCCAAAGTCCTTCACACAGGGGGTAGCCATATCTTCGGTGCACGAAGCCATAGGGAGTGTTGTGTAGGGACAACAGGTAAGCATGCGGGCCTCAAGTGCTTGCTTGAATTCGACAAGCTGCGCTTGTTTGCTCTCGCATAACTCGTGGACAACACTTGGTAGATAGTCGAGGTCATCTTCTAGAGCATTCCAATTGCCGATGATGTGGATTGCTGCTTCCTTGAAGATCAGCGCCGATCGCATATAAGTGCCCAGCTTTATCCAGTTGATCGGATCCTCAGCGATGAGAGCATAGACATGTGGTCCTAGTTCCTGGAGAGCATCTACAATGGCAGGAAATACCGCGCGGGTGGCTCTAAGGCAGTCGGCTAGATTGACCAAATCCCAGCAGTGGCATAGGACGTTCTGGAGACCCCCCTGGTCTAACAAAGGACAGAGGTCATACAAGATCTTGAACATGTTAGCCCAAAGGAGACGGATATCTGGAGGCCACATGATGATGGGCTTCTGGAGCTGCATATACATGGGGCCATAACGATATTGGTCATCCGGGTCCTGGTGTTCGATGGAACCATTAGCGCCGCAAGTCCTGATCGTCCATCGCGGCAACTTACCAGAACCTCGAGCACTCCGTATCTATGTGATGTCGATTCCACCAGCTCTAGTTGCACACTGCCGAAGTGTCCAATACCATACGATCCAAGCGATGAAAGTAGGTCTCTCAACTCACGCGAACGGGTTTTGAGTACGGTAGAATGTAACCGATATACATCCTCATATATGGTTATGTTTACGTCACCGGCTCCAAATTGTGGGAATTCTGACTCCATTCTGGCGAGACAGTGGACTTAGCTGCCGAGAAGGATCCGAAGGGCATATGTCCCTGCAAGAATAGCAGAAGGCAGAGGTTAAGAAGCGGGGTGGAAGAGAAAAGATAGGTACAATGCGAAGATGAGGTGCCTTGGCTATCTGTGAAAAATGTAGGAATGGGCGAGACGAAATGTATTGTCAAAGACTGTGAGGTTCTGTTGCTGTGTTTCACAATACCCTCGCCGATCGCCATGGCGTCCATGACTCTCCAGGGTGTAAACAAATGACATCTAATGTGCATAGAGATAATATGACCAGTAATAAGGAACACGGCAGCTACTTCCTTCAAGCCCGGTTCATGTGGATGGAGATGTATACAGCTGTACTTTGTGAACATAGAGACACAGATTATCCAGGTATCACGGATCCATGATCGAGATAGAGTCAGACTGACTGGGTATAGTGACCAAGGAATGATGGCACCCATAGGCAGTGAGTGGGAATCCAAAAAGGGATTTGGGTAACAAAGCAGAAGAATAATCAGTCTGAGCCGACTGGCAAACATCAGTTATTGAACGGTTCTGGAAAACCTCCAGGGTTAAAGCCATTGAATAGACAAAGAATAACGCCATATATGCTCATATCTACATATAGCTCATGAACAGCATCACTGTATATCATCAAAGCTCCTAAGCTGATGGAATCCAGAATCAGTCGCATGCTCCTTGCAGACTCCTCACTTTGGAAGAAACAGCCGAGAAAAAAAATAGACAAATACCTCTCAAGATAGAAAGAAAAGAGGCAAACAACAAATGATCACATCCAGTACACCGCGAAATCGCAAAAAATGGGAATAGGTTTCCAATGGTGGAGATTGGAGGCAAAATAACAGGAACCATCAAGACCAGCACCGGGCTTTACAACATAGCCAAAAAAGCCACCTTTTCATAACCCATCACGCAAGAGCCCCAAAGCCAGTCAATGTTCACATTATTAATGCTTTCTGACCCTTTTAACGGTAGCAATAGCCAGGTCAAGCAGGGAAAGGATAAGAAAAGAAACAAGTAACGACCAGCCAACGTCGATGGAGACGTCTCATGAGCAAAGAAAAAAAAAACACAACAACCAAGGATAACTTGATTGGCATCCAGGTCAAACACGAGATCCGGGTTTCCTAAGGTATGGCTCCAAATATACTGCAATTTGGCCTCAATAGCTTAATCATCATGTTTTTGACCTAGTGTTTCATAGGTCAAGAAGAAAGGCATCTAATCCGTATAGATGCTGGAGGTGGGGGCGGAAGTTTGAAAAAAGGATTGCGCAGATTTTTATACTCCCAAGGCGATGGTCTCCCGAGACAAAAGGTTGAATTGAAGCTACACCCCTGGGATTCATAGACAAATAAAAGGGAAAAGCATCCTTTCTACCGCCGGCGGGCTGGATCTCTTTCCCTTGTTGGCTGTGGCCTACTGCGGTCCGAGTATGCCGACTCCGGGGTATATCTGGGATCCATTCCTCCTATCCGCGGGTCTGGGGCGGTGGTAGCAGGGTAAGCTATTCCGGACGTAACAGGGGAATAGTCCGATTCTGTTTCATAACCAGGCCCAGGGTACCTTGGGTTATTTCTCCCATTTTCGTAGCCATAACCAGCGGCGCTGGTGTATGTATATGTTTGGTGCATGTCGCAGACACTGGGGGTTGGCTGGGTGCAGAATAAGGAACCTGCGGGGGAGGATACGTCTGGCCAGATCCAAAGGGTGAGTGGTTTGCAGGATATGAAGAAGAAGTTGGATAAGGGGGACTCTGTGTCTGCCCGTAAGCGGGTTGAGTGTAAGGATCCACATATTGCTGGGGAGGTGGTGCAGTGTAGGCAGGTGGAGGAGATGGACCCGGCTGCTGTCGCCCTTCATGAATTGAGGAAGATGCATAGGTTGCTGGAACCATGTTAGGTGGTGGTTGAGACACACTGTAGTCTTGAATGTAACTACCTCGTGGATAGCCTTGGTCAGCGCGACGGAGCACATCTGCCTCCCACCGAGCAGAGTCAGCTTTGAGATCAGCAATCATTTCCTACAATACGATGCCCGGTCAGTTATCAATATTTCACTCAAGAGAAGGGGAGAAGACCAAGGTTCAGCTCCGCATCGTTCCACTTACTGAGGTGAGGTTTCTATAAGCACGGATAAAGTAGCCCTGGCGGCCCTGTTTTCACATCCAGTCAGTAACAGGGTTACAACGAATGGCTCATTTGCCATTGCTGGACCGATTCGATTCTCGGTAGTCATTTTTAAGGAAATATCGGGAGACACACTTGGTGGTTTCCAGGTCTTACGAGAGCATCATTTCCAAGGTAACGGCATATGTCTGCTTGGATCACTTCCCGGCTGATTCCATCACCGGGAATAAAATACTCGTTCTGACGCTCCGGGCGTCCTTCATATCCAAGGCGTCCAGTCATTTTGTCCAGGGAATAGGTCCAGTATTAAGGTACTATAAGCCAAGGGATCCAAATGGGCACCAGGAGATCCAGGGAATCCGGAGAGGTTATGGAGTTGAAAAAGGTCCAGTGATGGGAGATGATGTCCTTTGGGAGGGGGGTTGTTTTGGAAGCAGAAACAGCAGAAGTACAGCTCTAATAACAGAGTGCGTCCAGGTAACTCCAAGGCTGATGATAATCAAGGCTAAACCGGAACTTTTTGACAAAAACACCCACGATGCAGAGAACAAGGTGTTAAGGGCAAGCGAGTCCACAAGACTGATCTCTCTTGGATATTTCACCAGTTGAGAGAGTAAAGAAAGAAATCCAGGTGACAGTTATTGCCCACAGTAGTTGTGTGAAAGACTGGGGGCCAAGATGGGATTCTTAGTCTCCTCAGGTTGAGTATCCGAACGGCAACGACAGGACCAGAGAGTCGAGAGGATGGGTGTAGGATGAGTTGTTGTAAGAGTAAATGAAAAGAAAGCGAACTTGAGAACAAGCGAAGAGACAAGGGTTTCAGGTGAGGGGATAAGGGGGCCGATCCTAAGTGGGGGCACTCCGTCGCTGATGATGACTCTCTTCCTTTTTCTCTTTCCAAGCACTCCTGTATACTTTTGGCTCTTTTTTCCTTCGAGCTGGCGGGGAGATGCCAGGGGTGGGCTTGAATTAGGGAAAGGGAAAAAGGAAAAAAGGAAAAGAGGAAGAAGAGAGAGGGAGCGACGGTAGAAAAAAGGACAGACAGGCGCACGGGGAGATAAGAAGGCGAAAGTGGAGGGTGGGGAGGGAAAAGAAAAGACGGTTGTGGGTTTGTTTGTGCTGGGATTGGACTGAATGCAAAATGGACTGAACGCCGCGCGGTTGGCTATTTGGGCTGTTGGGCCGGTTTTGGGCTGCTGCTGGCCTTCTGTCTGGTGCCACGATTGACTCCACTCTTCCCTTCAGCAGAACATTCGAAGTGGTTGAAGGACGGCTTGGGCGAATAGGGCTTGGAAATCTGAATGATTTTCCTGTCCCTAGCCGTGTGCTTATTCGTTTATTGGGTGAGAAGAGGGGGAGAATTTTTTTTATAAACTAAAGATTTAAATCCAGAATTATAATATTATTTGAATTGAAGAGTTTCTCTGGAGTAAAGTTTTATTCCTTTTTTTTTCTTTTTTTTTCCCTATTTCTCTGGTGTTCTCCGGTCATGATTATTTTGAGCTCGACCATTACGGAGTATCCTTCCAACGGTGATCATATAGTTAATGAATCTGTTGTTTACCTACTGGATCAGTAGGCTTCCAATTCATCAGATTTTTGGACCCATCGAAGGAACCATGGGTAAGTGGTAAGCTGAACCGAGACCGTCCATCAAGAGCACTTTTTCTCAGCCTGCGCCAGCCTCACCCACTTGTTTCTTGTCTCTCTTTTCTCTCCACCACGCAATGACATGACTTATTGCTTCATTTTTTTTTTAATGGTGAGGCAAAATGAGTCAATAACACTCGACATATTAAAAAAGAAACATTAAGTCACAACATAAACTGAACTATGGAGTAGAATTAACCAATCCAGGGGTGGTGTCTCTTCCATGGCTTTCATAACTGCTCAAGTAAGACAGCAGGAGACGTACGCAGCAAGGAAGACGGTAGTACCACTACGACTTTCCATGAATAACTTCCAAAAGTCAGTGGTTTCTTGCCATGGAAGAACCGGGTATATTCTCATCTTATTATTGAGTGACACAGAGCATGTTCCTCTTCTCTTTTCTCTTTTCTTTCTATTTTTTTTTTTTCCATTCCTGTTCGTCTCTTCTGCAGACTGCAACATCAGCCATCAAACTCAGTTTGTAGATCCTGAAAGACAGTGTTTCGGGGAACTTGCCACTCAAAGCTCATTGTGACTGACACGAGAAGGCGCCTAAAAAACAAACCCTGGGCGTCCAATCCATGTACCTGAGCGACCAGTCAAGGTTTGCCGTTGCCGACAAAGCTGTCAGCCAGTCAGAAAGAGAATTGACGATGTTGTTGGGCAGGAATGCGTGGCGGGCTTTGGGCACTCATTCGTTCTGACCGCTGACACTAAGGCATACTACGCTGACACTACAGTGCGTACTACGAACTAGTTCATCCACTCTCTTCTCCATACTGGCCCTGTCAACCGCTCCGCCGTAAAACCATTTCTCGATCCAAGGCTCGAGCCGCCCGACCCGCTACCCGGAGTGGAGGATTCCAGTCTTCTTCTGGTTCAACGTATCGAGAGGGTGACTAATGACTAGAACCTCGAAATTATCAACAGTGAACCAAGATAATGAAGCCAGCCTTGCATCACTAACGAGGTGGACTATTATTCACACACCACCATTGCCTGCGGTTCACGGTACCATGACCAGTGCTATAGCCATTTCTGGCCAGCTGCATGATCGGCTCCCTCCCTTTCTCTTCTCAACAATCTCGCCACCGCCTGCTTCTGCAGGTTGGAGACTTGGAGTACGGATACTATCCGTCTGATCGGAAGCCCAGCCTTCCATCCCCCCCAGGTCTCTCTCCTCTCCTCCCCCTTCACTAGGGTGTGGGGACTGGATCAGAGGCTCACCTATAGCCATCAAGATTGAGGTATTTCGTCGAACTTTCAAAATCTAGTGGAAGATCTTCTGGACGAGTCAAATCAGGCCCTCTCGGGGATCACGTTATCCCCTTAGCCCTCACATGCTGATTCCCTAATCCACCTCGACGTTAGTTATATGCAGCGGTGAGTCCCAGAGGGTGGATCCTATCCGTTGATGCCCGAATGACATCTATCCAGGTGTCCTTCCGCTGCTGCACGGGGGCGCCTTCGGTACAGTAGCTGCATCTAACCTAGTTGCCTCGCTAGAGAGCAGGTACCTAGATCCGAATGGCGCTGATTAGGACAGTATTCCATTCATTGAGTGCCTTCCATCTTGCCTCACCGGGAGATCATCAATCTGAGGATAGATGAAGAGAGGCTACGGCTGCCGCCTGCATTGCTAGCTAATATAGTTCGCGGAGCACAAAATCCAGACTAAGACCATTGGAAAGTCTCGAATTGACTCGATAATGTATTAGAGACCGCGGACGCCCCGAAAGTCTTTTCTCGTTTCGGAACATACGATTGACCTTCCATGGACTGGCTATCATGGTGCATGCGGAGTGCTACCTTTGCCTCGAGACAGGTTCTAGTGCCAATAGAATGAAAGTTTCTAGGACTCATGCGTGATGATATCATTGCGACTCCGTCACATTAAATTCCAGATGTACTCCGTACTCGCGATGGCAAACTCAAGTAAATCAGTTTATCGACCGATATCCAACTTTCTGTTGTTATGATCGCTTTTATTTTTTGAAGTCCATGGATTGTTTCCAGAGTCAACTGATCCATTGCATTGTCGGGCCTGGTATGCCACCAAATCAAATAATTTTCGCTTCGACCACGTTGCAGCAACGTCAAGTCATATGGTCAGGAAGGGCGAAACCTTGTGTGAATATGGACAAGTGACACCCTTTTATTCCTTCTCGCGAAATGACCTGGGCCCAGTAGGGCTGTTGCGATTAGGGGTTGTGGTACAGGAAGTCATACCTTAGGCCCAAGTCACCTCCGTAATATCTTTTGATCTTTTCGGGATAAAAATGCTAAAGCACGATATGAACCATAAGATATTTAAAGAGAAGAGACAGATTTCCACCTACAAGGCCACATAAGCTACGCGTTAACCTGGATTGCCCGATCGCACTGTAGCCTCGAAGCCTTTGCGCAACAAGAAAGTGCATGTTCCATATAATCGGGATTTTCATCGGGTAATTGAATTTCAGGTTTCGGAAGTTGCTGACTATCTTATTGTACCATTCTTTGTTTACCCATCCAGTCGAAATGTTGCCGGATTATCCCCAAACCCGTCATCTTGGGTCGCAGATAGTGAAGCAAGCAGGAGCGCAAAGGCCTTAAACACACAGGCCATCAGAAGTGCAAATTTTTGCAAGCTGTCACTTGATAAGCTCGTCATTTTTCACTACCTTGATAGCCAGAAAAAAAAGAGAAAGAGAGAAAGAGAAGGACAAAGATACAATAAGCCATATAGTGTACCGACACCTCTAACCTCTATGATCTAGGCAGATTATGTGACATGAGTACTACTAGCATTTAATGATATGGGGTTAAATGTACTGCTAGGTCTAGTGTAGTGAATAGGCTCTTCATGGTATCCTCTCCGAAGTATTCAGATTTATATTTATGGTATGTGGTTTCACCCTCTGGAGGTTGGAAGAAAATACTATATATATCATAGAGTTGCAAGCTCTCTAGGCGTTCGTTCTAGATTGACACTTAATTGAGAGGAGCTTCAAAGCCTAGCCTGAGTCACAACCATGAAAAAGACCATGTAGTACCAGGTCTAGTGCTCCTCTCCACCGAGATATCGTCACTTTGATTATGTACATTTACTCCGCAAGTCTTTGATGAACATAAGAACAAGGCATTGAATACCTCGTGTGGGTCATGCCGAATCGAACGCTAACCCACATTGGTACTAACTACCGGCTTCTAATTGGCTGCCTATGCGGTTGGCGGATGAGTCCGATTCTAGGCGATGATCTTCATTCTCGACAGAGATGGTTCTGACACCAGAGACTCCAAGCGTTCACAAATCGGGATGCCACAGCCCCGATTTTTCACGTTTCATCCATAAAGCCAGCATGACGCTAGAATCATCGATATCGACATGTCGCGCTCGTCCCCAGACCCGTTCGTCGCATCGCCCTCCTCCCCGAGCCACCCTGTGAAGAACCATTCCCGGTACACCTATCGCCAACTGCAGCTCCTTCGCCAGAGTTCGACGGCTTCTCCGCTCCGAGTAATTGCTCATGTCGATTTGGATGCGTTCTACGCACAATGTGAGATGGTGCGTCTTCAGACGCCGCGGGAGATACCCCTCGCTGTACGCCAGTGGGACTCGCTGATCGCGATCAACTACCCTGCTCGGGCGTTCGGCATAACGAGGATGATTTCCGCGAAGGAAGCCCGGAAGCTTTGTCCGGAGATTGTTCTACAGCATGTTGCGACTTTTCGAGAAGGTGAGGGCGGGAAATGGGCGTACAGGGAGGATTCCTTCAACCGTATTCACACGGATAAAGTGTGCTTGGATCCGTATCGGGCGGAATCGCGCAAGATCCTGAAAACAATGAAGGAGGAATTGTCGAGATGGTATATGGACTTGGTTGATGAGGAACGGGGGCTGGGTTCTCACGCTCAAATACAACAAGCTAGTGTTGAGAAAGCTAGTGTCGACGAAGTTTTCATTGATTTATCCCCGCTGGTTTATGGTGTCCTGCTTCAACGGTATCCGGAACTATGGAATGGGCCGGATGACGATGATCGTATCGCATCGTTACCTCGCCCCCCTACAACGGCACTGGAATGGAGCCAGGGCGATTGTCTAGTGGGCCTAGACGAGAACGAGACCGAGGTGGATGATCCTGATTGGGATGATGTGGCGATGCTTATTGGGTCAGAGATTGTCCGAGCGGTTCGCACGGCAGTCTGGGATAAGCTGAGTTATACGTGCTCCGCAGGTATAGCGAAAAACAAGATGATGGCAAAGTTGGGGAGTTCTAGCAATAAACCCAACAAACAGACCATTGTACGCAATCGTGCTATCCAGAACTTTCTTGGGGGCTTTAAGTTTACCAAGATACGAATGCTTGGGGGTAAGCTGGGTGATCAGGTCACGGCTCTGTTTGGGACGGAACATGTTAGTGATCTTTTACAGGTTACGCTGGAGCAGTTCCGGGCCAACCTGGATGACGATACTGCTAGTTGGCTCTATGGAATCATCCGCGGCGAGGATAAGAGTGAAGTCAACCCCAGGACGCAGATAAAGTCTATGCTCTCCGCCAAGTCGTTCAGACCGAATATCAACTCCATCGAGCAGGCAGAAAGGTGGTTGCGGATCTTTGCCGCCGACATCTATGGCCGTCTCATGGAAGATGGTGTACTTGAGCACCGACGCCGTCCAAAAACCCTCGCCTTGCATCATAGGCAAGGTGCACAAGTTCGCTCTCGTCAAAGCCCCATTCCTGGGTCGACACCGATCGACGAGACGTCACTGTTCGATGTTGGGAGGACATTGCTTCGACAGATCATCGGCGACGGACGCGCCTGGCCTTGTGCAAACTTGTCAATGAGTGTCGGTGGATTTGAGGATGGGGTTAGCAACAATAAAGCAATAGATTCGTTTCTACTCCGAGGAGATCAAGCCAAAAGTATCGGCCACCTTGCAAAGGACCGCCTTACGGAGGACTTGCCCGAAATGTTACAGCCGAGTGAGAAACGGAGGAAAGTTGAAGACGATGGTATAAAACGCTTCTTCAATCAGCCTCCCGGGGCCACCACGAAGCCTCAGCCAAGCGAGGCCCTATTGGAGACGCCAGCGACTAGTCTGGAAGGCAACAGAGAGAATATATTTCTATCGGAGGCCTCGTGTAATCCTGAAACAACAGAAGTTGCATCGGGATTCTATACTTGTAGACGTTGCGAAAAACCGCTACCGGAAGCTGAAAGGGATGAACACGACGATTGGCATTTTGCCAAGGAGCTGGAAAGACAAGACAGACAAGAAGCCATGAGATCCCAGCAGACAGCACGCCCGTCCAGTAATACGGGATCTTCCAGCGCCCGTGGTAGGCCAGGTCGTAACAGCCGGGGCAAGCCTGAGAAAGGGCAGACACGTCTCGCTTTCGGATAGTATTGCTGGACTTGAAATCCTCGCGATAATCAAACATCCATGCCGACCGGGACAAAGAAACAATTTTACTCATTCAAGCAAACCCAATAGAGGAGATGTTTCTTGATGTTCATATGCATTCGGTGCACCAGGAGAAACGAAGAGGTCTCTCCTTCCTTCCTCTCCCTCTTGCTGATCTCAACCGACCTCATTGTGCAATATTACATTGTAAGCTATGTGAAACGCATCATAGAAAACCGCTGTGTTCATAAGTCCTTGACGTCGCGAGTTCCCCCCGACCAATCAAGGGAACGGCCAGCAGATTCCGATCGATAAAGAATATTGGAGCTCATGGCTAGTTGTAATCTCAACCATGGTTCGAGTGTCAATTTTAACTTAAGGGAGAATTAAAGCCAAAGGACTTAATATAGCTATCGGATTTAAGCTCTTTCGAAATCGACGAGCTAGTAGACGATCATAACGGGTTGGAAATGAAGATGCATAGCAATCCAAATGAGCGACAAGAGAAGCTATTGGTGGTTTGGCACTTTTTAGGTCCCGTTGTGCAGCGGTGACATCAGCAAACTCAGCCGCGGGGTCGAATTTCAATTCCAACGGACAGCCATTATGATTTGACGTTTCAGCGATTTCGCTCTCGCCTACCATAACAGTGCACGTGTCTCACGGATTAATTTCCTACGCCCGATATCAGAGAATCTCTATTCCTGAGAATCAACAGAGGATTCCGAGTGTCTACAATCACTTATTCACTCTGCACGAGGTGCCCCTCACAGGACGGGTGTAGCAGAAATGTCCAATGAAGGCACCCGATAAAGACCAATTAGCTCCACTTCTAATTTTTCGTTACGGTCAACTTGGGTAATTCGTCTTGTTTGATATTCGATTATTGGGTTACACCATGCCCCGGCGATATCGTGCCCGTGAGTACGACGAGGACATGTACGAAGTTGAACGGGACCATTATCATCGTAAACACCAACACCGACCGCGAGGCGGACGCCATTACAAGGAGGAAGCAATCTACGAACAGCCTCGAGCTCCTAGTCCCCCGCTAGTCGAGGAGTTTGATCGTCTTCGCATTCGAGACAATGCAGGGCCTGAATTGATCCGCGAACCCCCTCGTGAGACATCGAGAGAGCTCCGGAAGGTTAGGGATGACACTTTCAAACGTCGTCGACCACATCGAAGAGAAGTCGTGGAGGAAGAAGAAGAATATGTCTCCCAAGATGAAGAGTTGACAAGGGGGATGACGGGAAGCGAGTCCGAAGACGAAGTTCCTATCATCCCGAAGAGACGACCCGCGCCGCGCCGCGGCGACGTACGCGATGAGCTCTCGAAACCCAGAAGTCGTCGTTCGGAATATGAACGGGAGTTACCACCCAGTATCGATGAAATGAAGCATGAGCACAGAAAACCCCGCAGTGGCCCTCATTATCACGCACCGTCACGGCTACGACCTGAGTCAGGCCCTAACACAGACGTCGAGGAGGATGATTATGAAGAGGAAGAAAATGATATCTTGGTCCGACGAAGCAGGCAGCGAAGACCTCCAAGAAAATTTGGTCTCCATGAAGACGATGACAGCACGTCATCCCCCGAATCAGAAGACTCTGCGGATGTTTCTCTCGCTCGGGCGCCTATACACCGAAGCCCACCGAAGCGACATGTACATGACCCAGAGGGTGAGCTTGTTACCTGACCTAGACGGTAGCATGATGATTGACCCACTGTTAGGTTATGATAACCCCCGTCCACCTCGTCCCCCGCGTGCACCTAGCCCCGAAGTCAGTTTTGAGAAGCCCAAGAGGGAAAAGTTGAGACCAGCCTCTCATGAAGAGATACTCGTCGAGGAACGTGCTGGGCCAGAGCTTCCAAATATAATACGCGGCCCACCTCCGGAGCCTTTTCTTCGGCAAAGGCAGGAAGAATATCCGATTCCCCAATCTCGACCAAGGTCTATTGAACGTGAGAAGGAAATATCCGTCCATGAAGTAATGCCAGGTGGTGGGCAAATGTTCGACGAGCACGATGTAGTAGAAGAGGTCTATGGCAGATCTCGTGAGCTCGAGAGGTCTATACGGGAAACCACCCCTAAAATGACCGGAGACGATTGGGCGATTATCTCTGCAGCCCCCAAGACAGAGCGGGATGCTTTGCTAGATGAAATTGCTCACGGACCCAGAGAGCCAGTCCTTAAGGACAAAAAGCCCAAGTTTACTGTAAGTGAAGAAAGGCATTCGGAAAGTGACCCGGATTTTGCACGGGGCAAAGTAGGGCGGCGATATATTGGTATGAAAGATCAACGAAATGGGCTCTGGACGGAGATCACCAAGGATCTTGTAGTGAAGGAAGCAATTGAACGATCTGGGTATGAATACGAAGAGACAGTATCTTCCTATTACGTGTTTTCATACCTTCAATTCGTGAGTGAATATCTTTCCCACTAGGAAACTTACCATTAACACCTTCGTACAGGAAGATGTTTCTGCTCTAGTTGACTTGTCGGAAGATATTCGCCGCGCACGTCGTCGACGAATCCAAGAGATTCACCGTGAACGGAGTTCTATGCCCCCCCCAGCGCCTCCAGTCCCACCAGCGGCAATGCCAGGGGAGCCGCCCTTGATGTTGGATAGGCCGATGTCTCCCCCATTCCGGCCCCGTGAAGAGCGACGGATGAAGCAACGTGAGCTGCTTGATGACAGACGTGGGAGGCCTCGCTCGGGAAGGTGGTGATATACTTAACTGGAGCGTGTTTTAAAATGGCAAGTCTTGCCTTGAATTTCCTTGATCTACAGCTATCATGATTGAACGATAAGACAGATACTACTCTAAATTTGCTGGAACAAGTATTTAGATATTGTTATTCTGCCTTCGAGGAGACCCACGAGACATGATTTATGAAAACATATGAGATCTTGAGCCCATATCACATTTCTCTGAGCAGGACTATATTTGCTCAAGCTAGCAGACTAATCTCAACGTAGATTATATGTCGTGAGCCTTTGTAGAGCACACTGTAGCCCAGCACATCATATTCCTATAATGGATGATATTAAGTATGGGTAGAGCAGACACGTGCATCAAATGATTACTGATCGATCTAGGCTGCCAAGCCCTCGGTCGCCTTTGAAGGTGAAAGTTTCAACCCAAGCGCGTCAATCGACGACGAACCAACCAACCAGAATCGTTAATTACGAACAGACAGAAGCTTTCAAGGCGCTATTGACAGCAATGTCCACTGCTGATGGAGAGTCATCGAGAAATAGAGGCCGGCCTCGTCAAGTGCCGACCGCGGCGCCGGACACGGTGAGCGGTATAGTTCTCGCTTCTTGGCCCCTTTCTCATAGTTGGCGTAGGTACGACGGACGCAGCTTCGAGAAGCCCAACGGGCCTATCGGTCCCGGCAACAGTTGCTACTTGCCTCATTAAAGTCTCGTGTTGCTAGACTAGAAGATGCATTCGGACAACTTGCTCAGATCATGGACTCATTCGACAATCAAGTTATCAAGCCAGGTGCTCAGATGTCCCATGCTCAGCTGTTCCAGGCTGTGAAGCTTTTCCAAAATGAGATTTGCTTCCAATTAGAAAGGACCGACTCACGTGTGCTGCCCAATGAAGGCAAAAAACGCAGTTCAGCTACCCAAAGTCAGAGACCCCAGCAAAGCTCCAGCGATAGACCGTCGTCGTCGGGCCCTTGCCAGGTCGATAAAGAAAACATTAGTGTCCCGACGTGGACGAAAGAAAAGGCATTCTCGTCTGATTTTTGGCGGCGCTTTTTGGGCTCATCCAACGGCTTTTTGCCGCCGGTTGCATCTACGGCTCATGAACCCAACGCTTGCATTCGTGTGACATCTTCTATAGACCGTGAGGATCACGCCATAGAATACACGGCTTCAACATTCACAGAGAGACTTTATCGTACCTGCGCAGAAAATGGACATCGGCTCGTGTGCAATGACACACTGACAGACGAGGAGATGCAGCCGCAATTTGGGCTATTATTGCAAACCGTTCCACGAGAGCAAATCCGACTCTATTTTGAGAAGGTACTCGGGATGGAATCATGCAACCCGGTCCGTGACCGTCGGTTTCCTTTTATTAGTCTCGGTGGAGCAGGGACGCATTTTCCCTCCGCGAGACAGGACTCTCGTTCTCAGAACCTTCATCGCTTCCGTGAGACAAATGGCGTGTTGGAGATTCCCAGCGATGAAGAATGGTTTGATATCAGCGATATGGAAGGGTTCTTGATGGAACAGGGCATCAAAACTGAGGAGTGCTACGGAGCCTTTGTCACTTCCTCATCACGTACGAACAGCAATCCAAGCACGAGGCCTGGATTGTTACTCCCAAGTGGCGACATCATTGGGTCATCTGATTTGAATATCCCTAGCCAGACTACCTCCAGTAATGTGGTTATGGTCCTGGACGAAACTACAATTATTGACAGTATGTTGACCAGCCATTGGCTCAAGCGGAACTTACTAATTTTGCTCTAGAACTAAGTCGGCTCTGTATCTGTCTTGGTTGCGTTGCTGGGTTTCGTCGCTCTGATGTTGAGACCCTTGTATGGCAGCATGTTAGTTGGAAACCAATTTAATTTGGGAATCACACAAATGAATGCTGAACAAGCGTTCTACGTCCAAAACTAATGGCGTAACCCACAGAACTCCATGTATTACCAATCATCCTATGATGAACGGACAGCGAAAAAAGCAGGTCTATGGAAGGCGATAGGGCCAACTTGTATCTCTTGTTGATATCTGTTTACAGTAACATCTCCACTACTTTTTTATATTCGATGCCCACCTTTAGGACGACACAGCGAGACAAGCGAAATTTTTAACTGCGCTGGCGGAATTCCTTTTGACTCGTTATCTGTTCGCGCCAGAACCAGATGGCTGTCGCGGTTGCGCCGGGTCCAATTCCTACCAATCCAGCAAGCAGCCCGGCAAACGCTGGCAATGGGGAGACATTGGAAATGCCGACTCGGTAAAGATCCCAGACGCTAAACCAGCACCACAGAAAGGTCGACATAGTCACAAGGAGGAAGCCATTTTGAAGAAATGTGGAAGCTCCCTCTGCCAAAGTTACGACGGGTGCAAATGAGTTCACTGGGAAGAATAGACGGGCGAGGGAGAGATTTTCCGAAAGCAGGCAGCTGAGGATCGAAGTTATATGAAAACAGGCAGCGATGGTGCCTGTTGCTGTGTAGAGAACACGCAGATGGTCAGAATTGGTCCTTTCATCTGCCGACGGAGAATCAAGTTTGGCCTGTCTGCCTCAGCCATGTACTCGATGGCTCGGGACAAGACTTCAGTCATCAAGACGGCAAATACTGGCGCTGGTTGCCACACAGCTACTACTGATTGACGTGACGTGTCTGGGCATCTCCAATTGGGGAAAACAGAAGCATTGTTGGGAGGATATACTCAGCCGCTGCCGCGGAGAGAATGGCCTTAGCTGTCGACTCTGGCAAGCTCCTGGTGACCCATGAAAAATAGGATAACCGCCTAGTGATGAACATGTTTACCACGAAGTAAAATGGGGCGACCAATGCAATTCCACGAAGCTGGTATAGAACGGCCCACACGCTTAGACTAATGAATAAACGTCAGTCTTATTGGGCACATAGGATATTGATGCAATCTATTATACCTTGACAAAAGGGTCCATTTGTTCCTTGGCCGATAACCCTCCACCGTGAAGATAGAGATCACGGGTAGCATGGACGACAAGAAGTAGAGCAGCTATAATGCTTGTTCTGGTCTGGAAGGGCCTGTAACTACAGGTAGAAAGATGGTTACCAGAGACTGGAAGATTCTGTCCACAGGCCCGGGTTGCCGGAACCCTAAACAGCTCGTCGTAGAAAGGGATCTCTCGCGGCCTCCTTGGTATAGGGATCATGTTCAATGACATAGCTGCAGAATCTGTTGCAATCCAGTTCTCCTTTATTAGTTGAACAGGATAGTATGGAGTGATAAATCTTGCCATTAGCTTCAACAGCGGGGTCTCCAGGCACTCCAGACGCTGTTGAGCCTGAGCGGTGTTGACTAAGCTCTATGCACGTTCTTCTCGTTGACGTTGAACTCCCTCAAAAGCAGATGTGATGTGTATTGTTGATAGTGATAGGCGAGGGTTGCTTTTCAGAGCAGTCGCGATGTGGTTCGTGAGAGCGGCGGCAGTTTCAACTGCTGAATTTCCCCCTTGTCCAGTCAAGGGCTCAAACTGTTTACGGCATTTCGACATGAGCCTTGCTTTGAACATCAAAGAATATTTGGGTTTCTCACCTTATGGCACATATCACCAATGGTCATGGTTCTCTGGAAATACCATCTTCTATAGACGTACCCAGGCAAACTGGTGTACACCGAGTTGGTCTTCTGCTTGTAAAGATCCGAAAATCTCACTGTTGGAGTGATTTGATCGTCCCAATGTTGCTTCGCTAAGGTCTCCTCCTCTTGTTTGGAGAATCGAGGAATATCTGGCCCGTACAATGTTTTCCCAATGTTTCTCACCAGGAACCAGTGCGTTTTTTTCTCCAGGCCCACTGGGAATGAGGTACGAGAACTTCTCATTAAACACAGAACTTAGAGTTCCCTTATTGATACCAGGAGCTCCATCTGAACTGCCAAATATGCATGCATATGCCGCCGGGAGTGCTTAACACCACATGTCAGCGTCCTTATCAGCCAGGAGTGGCCTTGATGTTGAGGGACTGCATGCCGTTTTCCTCGGATGGATCTATTTTCCTGGCTTCTTCCCACATCTGTCGCCGTATCGTCGAATGGATTCCATCTGCTCCGACGACAATGCCACCCTTGTAGGATTGTCCCTCTGTGGTGGTGACCGTAACGTGAGACTGGCTTGTATAGACGGTCTGGACCCTCCGAGATGTGAGCACTTTTGACTTGCCTTGGGTCTTGTCGTAAAGAATATGAATCAACATTCGGCGCTCAAAGAAGACAATGGGGTAGCCATGACTAAGGAAAATATTAGTTCAAGCGACATAGCGAAGGCAGAATGAGCAACAAACCGTCCAGTCATATTCTGGTTAAAGTTCTCTAAACTGCGAATTAGCCTTCCACGAGAATCGCGGAAAATGACTTTTATCCATTGAGTATTCGGCCATCTCCATAACCGACTCATAGCATCCTAGTTGGTCAAGGCTGCGTAGGACGGTTGGCAAGAGGCCAATACTTGCACCAACTTGGGGTGCGATGCTCGGGTAAGCCTTGAGAACTAGGAAGTCGATGCCATTCTTCCCTAGCATTAGGGCCAGGGATAAACCTGCAATGCTGCCACCGGCGATGATGACCTTGAAGGGCTTGGGAGTCATGGCGAGGGCTCTATTGGTAGTGCAAGACCACGGTTGCAGTGCTCTATTGAAAGAAACCAAGACCTTGTATTTATAACATTACGAAGAATTTCTCTAAATCAGGATAAGCTATAAGCACTATCTATCCCCCCAAGGCTCTACTATCTCCCATCCAAGATTCCCGCAGCATCAAGTAATCGTGATAGAATGATCTGTTCTAAGAGAGTCGAAGCAATTATCATGTTGATCAATAATCGACCCAATCAGGGTATCAGACTCCAGTGGGTCGGACGAACTAACTAGTACTAGTAGTAATCTACCATCGCCTCAGTTGACACCATCTATATAGTGCCAAGCAAGCTGGCAATTTGCAAGAGGCGTCGCCTCCATTGGTCCTTGATAACAGAAATTACTGCCAAGCCTGATCAGCCCTTGAAGATTCATATAATCCATTCAGTCGGGACTTCAAGGACAGAGAGTCATATAGTTTTCAAGTCCGATAATCGACTCATACAGCTTTCGTTATTGATCTACTAGGCACCTCCCTACTCAGCCTTGCGACCAAATCACGCACTCCTTCAAGCCATCATTATCAGTTTGACTTCCAATCGTCTAAGCTACGCTCGTCTGGGAGACATTCTCAAAAGGTATGTCTAGCTAGCAGCTAGTTCCTGACCTCATACCATCAATCACAGACTCCCATCTGTTAGGGGAAGTTCTCTCGGGAGGTATTGGATAGCATTTTATGATTCAAATACTATATATTCCACTACTGAGAGTAGTCTAGCACATACGACCATAGGGTGTGGAGAACAGGGCTTCCCGTCCGCTCAGCCGTACTTAAGCCACACGCCGGGAGGTTAGTAGTTGGGTGGGTGACCACCAGCGAATTCCTCCTGTTGTATGTTTTTTTTTTCTACTGCATGTGTGTAGTAGATGCACAGAAATGGGCACTGCTTCAGCGGCCAATATACCTCGACATGCAACATGGGAGACGAAAAGTGACTATATAGGACGTGATTGTCAACCTCCCAGGAACCAAGGCCCTTGGTAGTCGCATCCCCATAACTCATTCCTTGAAACTATAAGAAGCCATTTTATCTGCATAAATTAAACCAGTTGTTACCTTATGCCTCACTTGAAGCCCTCCCTCAGACTACCCCGGATCCATACAATGACCAAGAAAGACGGAATATACTCTCCACATAGGGCTTCGGTATCGTGAACCGGCCCCTTCCTTGCAACCCGGAACCATGCACTTCGGGTCCTGGCCCACGGCATCAACTCCAATAGACTTCCACCTGGTAACCGTGAACACTGGAAGGGAACTCTCAGAAACGGGCCATCACTCACTCCCTGCCTTTTCTTTCCAATCCCGCTACGACCGATGCTAATGAGACCAACCTAGGGGTATGCCCAAAGAACCAAATACATGGCCTGGATATCCCTATTCGGCGCAATCCAGCAAACTAGATATCTTGATCGATGCACCTTCACTTCGGATCCAGATGTTAATCCTGCATTCATACCCCTCGGAGTATCACCTGGATCTACCTCTCTGAGACGGTGGGATAAATTTTTGCGCCCCCAGTTTCTTCAGATCCACCTGACTAATACTCAGTCTGAATGTGCACACAGAGGTGGCACTATCAATGTAGGAGGAATCATGGCGTCTTGGCAAGATACGTTGCAACACTGTACCCATGCTGTAAATGGGCGAAGTGTACTGCAGGCGTGGACTGGAATGAGTGGTTTCAGGGCAGAGAGGGAGTGAACTACATACCGGATTTGAAGCTTGATTTGGGTCACTAGATGGGGGGCTGTTATAATCCCGTTGGTAGACCGCCAGTATGGCTACAAAGCAAATGAAAACATGATTGGACGGACATACATCCTTCGTGTGCTTTCATGGCAATCAATGTGTATAGATTCAATTAGTAAACCTCCATAACCTCTAACTATCGCCGTCAACTACAATTAATAAGATAACCGAGTTCGATGTCTTTCGACGGGCACAAGCACACTAAATCTGTTGTTTAGAAATCCGAAAAGCGCAACGAAACAGGACACTTAAGGGCAATTCAATCCCCTCCAAGGGATACAGCCAGAAAAGAGCTCAAGAAGTTCCCCGAAACTCGAACCCCCACCCCAAAATATGTCTTCTATCAGACTCCTCGTCGTGCTCGGTACCACTGGCAACCAAGGCGGATCCGTCATCAAGAGCGTCCTCGCAGACCCTACCTGGTGAATCCGCGGTCTAACCCGGAATACTTCCAGTGCAGGAGCCCAATCTCTCCATGCATAAGGTGATGAAATCATACAGGCAGGCCTAGACGACATTGCCTCGCTCGAAGTAACGTTCCAAGGAGCAATGGCCGTCTTCAGCGGAACTGATTTCTGAAACGCATTCGCGACAATCGTCTAGAATATCGAGATTGGGGGATCAGTCGGAGATCGGACGGGCCTACGAGTATGATATGCAGCAGGGCAACAACGTTTTCGATGCTGCGGCTAAGATAGATACGGTGGAGAGACTCGTTTTCTCTAGCCTGTCTGATGCGTCGAAGTGGTCGAAGGGTAAGTATACACGGGTGTCACACTTCAAAACCAAGGCTCATGCGGTCGATTATGGGAGGGAGACGTATCCGGAGCTCTGGAAGAAGACTAATGTTGTTCAGGTTGAGTGGAATTTGTCGAACTTTCTTGGTTCGTGCTTGAGGACGAAGAAGGTTGGTTTGATGGGAACCTATTGTAGTCACAGTTTTCATTGCTAATGGTTTTTGTTGTAAGCCGAGAATGGAATGTATCAATTTGTTGGCGGATTGAAAGGCGACGTTCAACTTCCTATTGTTGCTGCCGAATAGGATACTGGCACAGTTGTAAAGGCTCTTGTTGCATGCCCATCAGGGAAGAATCTGATTTCTTATCGGGAGTGGATGACGCCGGAGGACTTCGAAATCCCTACTGTTGAGGATTGGATTAGGAAACAGGACTGGTCGGAAATCCTGTAGGGAGCGTAGTGATGGAGTTATTTGTTTTTGTTTTGTGTCTCCTTGGTTAGGGCATTCGAGGATTGCTTCCAAGTTTGATCTATATCTCCGTCAATGTTAGTAATTCATCCTGACAGGTTTTGGATAATAGAAAGATAATTACTTACTTCTTTTACTATCGAGAGCCATATTAAGATATATCCACCCTCTCTGCTTCCTTCGAATCATTTTCACCACCATTGTTTCCCTGACCATTCTGTGAATAAATATACCACAACCTCACGGTAAACCGCCTTACATTCCTTAACCAAAAGCCTGGGACTTGCTCAAAGGGAACGTTTCAATTGTCATCAAGTGGGAGTTGGGGCTTGAATGTCGTGAGATTTTGTCTTCGATTTATCAATTGGGGTTGTCAGCGCCGTCCAATCAACATGGTCTCTCTTGTAGTTATGAGTTGCAAAGAGCAGGGTAGGATAACTACCGTACAGCGCTTGAATTCAGTTATATGGAGTAGATTGGTGGACTTCGAATGCGGCCATGAATCCTATCAGTGCCAGCTTGGATATTCCACTCTATATATCACTGATTCAATGCAACATGCAAATAAACTCGGTATCACAGCATGATATAGTATATCTAAAATGACCTATAAGAATTTACCTCCCAGGTGTCGTTTATTCCCTCTCCCACCGATGCATACATGATCGCTACACCGCACTTTACATCCCTGACACATACATCCGCTCTGCAGTCGAAAGATATATTCTCAACTCACGCCATCCAACTAATGCAGAAAGCAAGCCACTGCAAACACATACGTTCTACCGCATATCTCGCATCTACATCTACACCACCGATGCATATCCAAAAAATATACTCCGGTATGCCCCTCCACGGTCCAAACACCACGAACAAAGCTATCCAGCGACCATAGAACCAATCCTTAGAAAGTCCTTCCACATAAGAACACTATCCTCCATGCCCACAACCCCCGTTGCACTCCTAGCTACAGCCGCACGCAGATTCCACAGCTGTACCGCGCATCCAGCCCCTGATGGGCCATGCCGTGGACCGTGATACAACAGGAGCAGGGCACCTGACAGATTGCGGCTGAGAGGTGACGTTTAACAGCAGACGTGCGATAGGGGAGTTCTTATTTCTATGATTTCTCCATATCTACGAATCCGAATTAGGACGCGACATTTGGCCCCCTTTGTTGCTTCATATACCTCCCTTCCGCTATCATTGACCTCAATGCCGGTTGATTGTGTCGCAGAGCGAAACACCAACACCGTAAGGCTGGCAAATCACTCCCGGGCATCGCCACCGTCCTCACGACGATCAGGTACGAGATCCAAAACAGGAGTTTCCCGAGTCAAGTACCGAAGGGGGGAGGGTGGCTGGCTGTCTATCACATATTGAAAAACTGGGTACGTTGTGGATATCGTCTCGGGTTGTTTGTTTTCCATGTTATACGGTAGGTATGTAGTTACTGGAGTAGGCGATGTCCGGGTTGCAATATGACACGTCTCTATTTTCCCTATATTAAGTGGATATCTGGGCCAGGGCTGATATTATTAGACAGGCTGGCTTGCTACCCGTGTTATATTTCTGGAGAGTGAGTGGTTATGTTATGTTACTGTAACGTGGGCAGATGGGTGCTTTGCTTTGTTTTGAACCCGGCTTAGTTATGGCAATCCAGTCTGGGTCAGCAGGTCGATTCTAGAACCTGAGGGTTGTTTCTGCTCAGATCACGGATTGAACTGATTGCTCGGGGGACCGGTGTAAGGGAGGGTTGCCAAATATAGGCGGGAGGATGCGGGCGGGAGATTTGGATGGACGTGCATACATACCTGTACTTACTCTGCAGTACTACTACTAGTAGTTTATATGTACTGGTAATTGTAACTGTAACTGTATCTGTATGGGATCAGAAACGCCACAGCCAAGGAACGAAATAAAAAACAATGTTAAATTAGGTTCCCACAATAATGGATCATGGACACGGGATGATCCTAAATATAAGTAATTATTTGTTTTCTTTTTTCTTTTCTTTTCTTGCTGCTATTTTTGTTGATTGAGATCTCTTTTCAGAGTTCTGTCTTGGACTTTGGGGAATGTGAAATTGTTTGTTTGGGTGCACTTTCTTTGCATTATGGATTTATTTTCATTTTTGTTGTTGGTGGATTGGTTGTTGGAATTTTTTTTTTGTGTTGTTTCATGTTCTTTCATTGGAGGGGCCTTTTGTTTACCTCTCTTTTTTCTACAATTTGTTTACCGGTGTCGCGGGTTCAATTGCAGTGCAGTGATTTAGGTTGTGTTTGATGCAACAGTAAGGGGATCGGCATTTTACTAATCGGGTTTCCCACTTTTTCTTGTCATTGCCTCAGCCACACCATTATTGGTATTTTGTTTTTTCCCCCCGGTCTGTTTCCCTTTCATTTTAAATTACGAGATGTTACCGTTCAGGGATTAGTGAGAGATTTTTCGCTTCTGCGATTTACAACAAGAATGGCGACCACTCGTACAATCATGGCCTGAGCCTCGACGGAGAGATAGTATCCTGCTCCCTAGTATCCCCATCCGGCTGTTTGTGGATGTCGAGCATATCAAAGCAGCAGCCAGTGCATTCCCCGGCCGAGCCGGCATGGTGCCGCCCGTGCCAGAGATAAGGCTGCGATGTTGACAGCTTCCAGATCCAGATAATCCCTCCATTCCAGTGAACTATCCAACTCGTATTCCAGAAAGTTGGTCCATACGGCGGAGACTGCGCCACTACTGATCGCCATCTGTCGACCAAAGTCAGACTTGTAGACGACCTTTCTAATTAGATCGCGAATATCGCGCTTGCACTTTCTCCGAGAGGGCTAGTCGATGGTCTGATATGTGCGAGACACCTGCCAGGAAGGTTCGCAGGTGACAAACTTCAGCTTGCAAGAACGGACTTCTGAAAGGCGGGGTTTCACTTCTTTATCACTTCCATAGGACCTTCTCCGTCCAAAGGACACCGGGCAGAAATGACACGCAGAGGGCGGGCGTCGTCATCCCTTTCGTTGGGTTGCCTTTGGCCGATGCTATTGGTCGGGGTCTGCGACAGATTCCTATCTTAGTCGTACTGTGGTATCCACGATGGACAAGGCAAGTCCAACGATACGTAGATATCTCAAGCATGCCCCTATGTTCATGTAGGGTATGCAGCCACGGCAGGAGTCATCATGATTTTCGACTGGCCATGTGTCTAGACTCTTAGTTCAAGCGGGGATGAATATCAATGCGACCGGGAAAAAGGCATGTCGGAAAGTTTCAATCATTTCTCTTGCTTTTGAAATTGTATGTATGTATGTAAATGCCACAGCGCATTCTTCGGCAAATATTTAATGAGCACTGGCAGAAGCGACCGAGTGAGGGTAATTGCTCAATCACGAAAAGATTCCAATGCGGATTTTCGCAGAGTGGTCCCTTGAGATAAGCATCGGCAATCACTTTGATCGGTACTGGTGTTGAGAATCCTAAAGAGAAAAGATTGACCGTATGCGTGTGTGTGCGGATAAAGGGACGTGATTGATGAGAGATCGCAGATCGATCCCTTCCACTTATTTCTGGTGTCACATGTTTTGATGTTTTGATAGGTTGTCAAGTTTGCCTGTATGCCTTGATTTCCAGGCCATAGTCGATTGCTACCAGGTGTTGGACCACGTAAGTATGATGTATTGGGACTTAAGGAGCTTGTCTCGCTCAGTGAATCTCGCGAAAACGCGTACCGCGCCTGACCCGAGATGGGAGTATCCATGGAAATTTCAATTGAGAAGTACTCCGTATTGTGTGATTTGTCCTTTGCGATTTTACATATCTTATTGTCCGTGGAACTCACCGATGGTTGACCTTGGGTTACAGACGGGACAGCCGACCTGAAACCGCACAAGGCCCACCAGCATGTATGTTAACTGTGTATTAAAGCCACAGCCTCCCTTCCATGGATCGTCGGCTGCTGGTCCAGCCCAGGCACGGCCAGAACAGCAAAGAAACCGGAAAGGACACGAGAAAAGCTCGAGTAAGCATAATAATAAGGTCAATGACACATTAATCAACATCATACATCGCAATTCATCGCGATTCCGCGTGGTCTCCCTTCTAGACCATTTCTTCGAAGTCGCATCTCCACTTGACCGAATCCATTTGAAGACCACAAGTTGCCCTGTGCGGTGGCGGGTGCGAAAGAGGATCCGTCACTATTGTACTAGTATTGTCTATACATATCTTCCTATCAACGACAAGTCTAAATCTGTACGGTTACTGTAAGCCCCCTTCATAAGTAACCACAATGCAGGGAACCCCAAATGAGATAGATAATAGACACTGCAGGATGTACGGGGAGATTTCATAAAGTGCTAGAATTCCCATATCAACTTGCTTATATTGGGTCAGTGTGGTATGTAATATTTGGAATGAAGTACCACTTGGGCAATGTTAAGTCACTGTCTTGGCTATGTGAAGGCCAATGAGACCGGCAGGATCTGCATCCGTGACCGTGTCTCAAACGCTGAATCGTTCACAATTTGTGTGGCTGAACCGGGTAGATCGCATTATCCCCAAGTAAAAAGGAAAGGAAGAAAGAGACAGGCGCGAAATCAAAACAAGAAGAGATTTTTTCTTTTTTGATCAAGAACTTTCTTGACAGCTTTCTGACCGTTAGGGGGAAAACAATCAAGCAAGGTGAGATGAGGCAGAGGAGTGCGTGGTATTGTGGTGGTATGTGTCGTGACGTATCTTTTGTCCCGCTGTGTCAGACAAATGACGCGGCCGAGGTGAAAAAAAGACTCCCATTCAGCATTGAAGAAATTCGATGACAAGGATGTCTTGTACATGAATCTTAGTACGTGCAACCACCGATCCATTAGAGTTTCTATCCTACCTTATATTTACAGTCGCACAGGTGTACCTTTCATCGATTCTCCAGGGCCAGGGAATAATAATTGGTTTGTTTCTCTCCATTTCCTCCTGGGCAAGATCTTTATGTACTGTCCATGGTCCGTCTTTTGGAAATATTTTCCAGCTCCAGTACAGGTGGCGCCACTCTGGTACAACACTACTGCTGTTATACACTCCTCGCAGTTGAGGGGGGGGGGGGGGGATTTGCTTGGATCGTTTGTATCCACATACTACTAGACCGATATTTACTGCGAAGTACGGGAATAATAGATTACATTCATGTTGACAATGAATCTCTGGCAAACAGACAAAAATCACTTTGCTGTCAGTTTGGATTGTAAATTATCCTCTTGACATAATATAATAGAATGTAGCTCTATGAATTGTAGACAAAGAGAGATCCTTCTTCCCTTGAAGACCTCGTTTCATTTGGATCGTAAAGATGAATCAAGGGAACGAGTTTCTGAGTGAATTCAGTACTACTAGTACACATTACAGGCTTTAGTTGACCAGCTGTAAATCGAATTACTCCATTAAGTTGCAGCCTGCATAGTGCTAAGATAGGTAAGGTCCTCCTGCTAGGTACTCTAAGCCCCACTTTCAAGCGGGTATGCCGGTAATTTTCGTTTGTTTTTCATTTTTTTCTTTCCCCCATACTTCGTCCTGGACAGAATTACGGCCGATTCGGCTAGATGCCTTGTTACCTATTGGGTTAGCGTAGTTGGAGCCTAGATGCATGGACATACGTACGCCGTACATACGACGGACTCTTACCCTGATAATCAAAATTTCTTTCTTGGTGTGGTTTTCTAGAACGGTTACTGGCTGCATTGGTGGAACGCCGGGAAGGGAACCCGCTCTCGTTCCATGTTTCTTGTTTCGTTACTTACCAGCAGTTTAACTGGATCCATTGTTTAACTGACCTTACCCGACTTACTCAACTTAACTCACTCACCCCATCGGCTTCCTCGTTAACCCAAAGAGGAGAATCGTTATTCTCCTTTCTCATTCTCTTCCTTTCTTTCCCTCCCTTTCACTTTTACTTTCTGTCATTACTTTTGACATTCCATCGGATTCTTTTCCATCCAAACCTCCGTGAGACGCTCGGCCGTCCCTTCTCTCCTGTTTGTAAGGTGACGATGATCATGACGATGTTGCGATAGTCTTCTGATCCGCCCGCTATCGTACTCTTGGCCCCCCGAACATCCGTTTAGTCGCAGCTAGATGAGCTCCATCTATAAGACAGGGAGGAAAAAATAATCCACACCAAAAAGTAACTGGTTCTATTAGTTCACAGGTATGTCGCGGGATCGCATGATAGTTGGAAGCCCATTTGCATGTGTTTGTGGTCTGTGGCTGATCGACGTCAGTAATTAACTGCCACACCTGACCCTAGTGAAGAAGGATCTTCTACGGGACTGCGAGCCAACAGACAACATTTCTAGCTTTGGGCTTGGATCACGGTTTGACCACTGTCATTAACCCTCGTCAGTCGACACCGGCCAAACCTTCACAATTGTATATCCTGCCGATCGAGCGACCGATCTAAAACCGAGGTGGCTCTTGTTTATTGATACTGGGACCTATTTTGATTCTGAAGGAGCTTTTCTTTTCACGATTTGGTCGAGGCCGCGATTTATACTTGGTGTCGTTCGGCTGGGAAAGGAACGCACGCACTGCTGTCACATCTACACCGCTATCCGACCATGTCCGCCATGCCTCGTAAAATAGCTCTGCTATTATTTACTTTGTTCTCCTGGCGAGCCTTTGCTGCTTCGGATATCACATATTGCTCTACCGTGAACACGGGAGCTTCGAACTCTGCTAGTATGTTTCTGTGGTGCTCTTATGCCCTAGGATTTTTCTAACCTGCACACAGATGTCAGTGTGTATCAATCAAATGGACTTTGTACGGACACATGTAATTCCGACTATGCTTTCGGGATTCTTCAAGGGAAGAGTTGCTGGTGTTCGAACATTGCTCCCAACAAAGCGACCAACGTTGATACGTCGAAGTGTGATACAGGGTGTCCCGGGTATCCCGATGATAGTTGTGGAAGTGCATCTAAGGGCGTTTTTGCTTATATCCAGATGAACGAGCATTCGCCCTCGGGAACAGCCACAGTTTCGTCGAGTACGTCGACATCTACTACAGAGTCATCGGTCAGTAGATCTTTTCTGTCTGTTTATCAACCCAAGCAAAGTTCCCTTCCAACCCACCAACTCGGTCAATTCAGCGTTTTGGCGTGGATGAGATCCAAAACTGCTTTGATCCCTCATTGAAGCCGCTTAGTTCTTGTACACAACGAGATGAACACGTTGACCAATTTACTAAGCTGGATGATGGGGATCATGGCATTGTAGTCTCTCACAAATCGATTGTTATTGCTGTTAGCGTGCTAACCTTTCACAGACTAAATCGACGGAGTCTTCCAAAACCACAGAAGCACCTACGACGTCGCAACTCAATCAGTCGAAACCGTTGCCGGAGAGATCAAAACGATTACAGTCCCCAATTCAAAGCCAACGTCGGATTCAAGTGCTGGCATGTCCGAGAAGGATACTAGCAGCTCGGGTTTAAGTGGAGGCGCAATTGCTGGCGTGGTAGTCGGCTCGATCGGCGGCTTGGCTGCTATTATAGCCATCTTCTTCTTGATCTTCTTCAAGAAACGCCAAGCGCGTTCGACAAGCCCAAGTCCGAGCGTCTCAAATGTCTTGCTAGATGGTAGGAACAGCAAAGGTTCTCAGATGAGCGTCGCGAACCGAGCGTTCTCAGATACTCATAGCCATACATTATCTTCTGGATCCTCAAGATTACCAACGTTTACCGATACTCGCTTGAAAACGGATACTGTACTGTACGCAGGCGGCCGCCGTGACAGTGACGTGTCACTTCAGGACAATGAAGACTATTCTCGGCCAGTCCTTCGGGTTAGTACTGTTCTTATTTTGTCAACTGATTGCTTGACAAAGCTAACCTTAAACAACTAGCTTACGAACCCCGACTGATAAGATCCAAAAGAGATCCTGGCTACTTTCTTCCGTCTTCACTTTTTCGTTTGTCATCTCGATTTGCGCGTTCGGCGAATATAGCGGTCTTATGATACCCATTTGTCACACATCCTCATCTACCGAAAACTGGGACTTGACAGGCTCGGCACTCCCCGACATCGTTCCATGCTTTCAGGGACTTGCAGGTATTCCCGCAACTGCATGGTCTCGATGTTGTCTTGCCATCGGGAAACAGTCTAGACAGCCATGAATGTCTGTATCAGGCTGGCAGTTGTCAACATCTCACGATATAACTACCCATTCACATAGTCGTCCGCTTGTCGCCGACTTTACTCGATTCCATCAGCCTCATCCCTTGACCGACCTTATCGTGTACATGAAAGCACATGCGAGTGTGCTATCCTAAAGTACATACAACTAATTTCATTGAAGTGTCTTCTCTCCATGCATATTTATTTTATATTGATCCTTTTGATTTTTATTGTATACTTGTTAGGGCTATACGGAGCATTTGTAAAGCGCGCAGGCTGGATATTTGCAATTCAATCAATTACGTTATTACCTATCAAATGAGGAGCTCCAGCATGTAATACCATAATAATGTAATTAGCAAGATATGTATTAAGCATCGCTGACTATATGGGTCCCAATTTAGCGTTCATTAGCTCTCGGGTGATTTGCAATGCCCACTGGCCTAACCATCGGGTCGAAACAAGTCATCCTCCCAACCTGGCCACGTCTGTATGATCACATATGGTTTCAGCTTGAGACTAGTAGCTAGTGACCGACGGTTCGGTGTTGAAAACATACTGTCAACCCTCCGAAAGTTGAAAATGAGACATTAAGGCTGACTGGCGAGACCCACACCGGCGAGACGATGAACCCGAGCTGCGATACGTACCTTTCTATACACAGAACCACATATAGTTATGATCATTCCTGTTTGCTTAATTAATCGGTTTGATAGGGAATTCCAAAGCCCCGGAACTCCGCCGGCTGATCAGCCTTAGTTTCGGGATCGGACCCAAATGTCACTCACGCTAGCCTCACATCCAGTATTCGATGTTCATAGTATGAGGAGCCCCCGGGCATGCTTTCAACATATCAATGACATTGCCACTGTGACTGAGATGCTTGTGCGAGGTCGCATGCTTCTCAGATGAGGTTCCATTGGGAAAGCATTATAACAAACATGTTTTCCTGCCCCAACATTGGGACCCATGAGTCTATCATATGCCGCGCTAGTTGCCAGGCATTATCTCTACACTTGCTCCAGTGTATTCCGTGCCTACCCATACAGCGTGCTTGGGTGTGAATAATTATTTTAGTTGAATGAGTGTCCTTGATTGATCCTATATAGAGTCTTGTATGGCTGATAACTACCAGCAAACGGATGGTTCACAATATGGTTTAATCAATAACAAAGAGGTAACCTCAATAAGACTGCACAGTGACGAGCACTAGAAGTTTCTATACATCTCCATATTCTTTGGCAACTAGTGGCTCAATGAAGTATATATGGTCAGCTAATCACTCGCATAGTATAGAAACTGGGAGTAGATTGCAAGCTAGCAACGAGACACTACATACACGTTTTAGATTTCTGTGATCCTATCAGTGCGGCTAGCAAAAGTCATACTTAATTTTAGATTATACTTTACACCTCTTTCGTCTATCATGGCACTTGGAACTGAGATGAGGCAGACTCATCGACTGGACGCCTTCCCAGCTGAGCTTATCTATATGATTGTTGCCTATGTTGACGCTCCATCGGTAGGACAACTCGCTAGTACTTGTCAATGGCTCAGCGAGATATTACGTCCGTTACTGCCCAAGGCTGCCAAGGGATATGCCTTGGCCAATGAAAAGGATTACTTTCGGTACCTTGAAAGATACTCAGGATCATATATTCGCGAATGCCCGTTCATTTGTCGGTTCCGAAGGCTCACATATAGGATCGTGCTCCCACGTCAGCCACTCGCAGATGCCATTGAAAACGGTAAAATCAACGCTGTTAAAGGATTTCTTGATGCAGGGGTCAGTCCGAATTCCCACGATGTGACTGGATTAGCATGTTGGGCATTGCAATTAGTTTCTGGCATACTTAGATTGTGGAGCTCCTGCTTGAAAGGGGCGCCAGTTTGGAGCTGTACTCATTGCTGCCTCAATCCAAGATGATCTGTATTATACCGTACTGTAACCTCGAATCGCTCAAACTTATTGTGGATAAGGTCGATCTGGACGATATATTTCGTGATGGTGGGTCTCTGCTCTATCAAGCCATACGGAATGACAATCCAAATGTGCTGGAGTTTTTGGTGGAAAAATATGCCCATCTGCTCTCCCTACAGGACTTTAGAGGCGAAACAGCCCTTTTTCGAGCTGTTCAACTTTGGGAGGACCAGGATTGTCAGACTGCTATGGTTTGTATATTGGTTGAGGTTGGCATTGATATAAACGTCAGAAATAGACGGAATGAGACTACCTTTTATAAAGCTTGCTCTTATGGCTTCCACGAGGTTGTTCGGTTTCTTCTAGAGCGTGGGATCCAGACAAACATACCAGGAGAGAGTGGGATGACCGAGCTACACTACGCAGCCCGAGACAATTCGCTAGAAGTTGTAAAGCTTCTACTTTCTCATGACATATTCAATATCCACGTATCCGCGAATAATGATGAAACGCCGCTGCATATGGCAGCAAGCCAGTTGACACCCGATACCTTTGCAGTGCTGCTTGAGAATGGGGCAAGTTTACACCTTAGAGACGCCAATGGCCGAACACCTCTGGGCATAGTCGAGACAATGGGTTATTGGAGCATTGGGAGATACCTTCAGTATGAAGACGACATTTGATGGCGACAGCCTTCTTTGGATGTCTAGGCATCTTGGTTTGTTCTTCATATGATAGAATATTCTAGTGGGCGTCCTAGAACTCAGGTCAAATGGGACACCGTGAGTCTACTTGACCCATGACAAGAAATCGGCAGTGACAATGTGGTGCTTGCCTTTTTCGCTAGTGCTATGAGAGTGCAGACCAATATCCTTGTCTCCTACTCTGGTCGTAGCGTCATGTATGATTTCACGGATCGATTCTCCAGGATGCCGTATTCCGGTGATTCTTGTAAGGCCACGCGAATTTGTGACACCAATCTTCGCTTCTGGAAAACCAGTCAGAGTGTATGTAATTGTGATCTAGAGGTCCTGGAGTGGTCTAGTATGAGCCAATGCCAATATTTACCATTCTCCCTGAGATACAAAGTATCCATTTTGCGAAGAGAAATTCTAAGCTCTCGACTGACCATGCCGTTAAATGACAAGCTTTTTGAATAGCTTAGGGATATCCCCAGTAGCTTTATATACATGTATATGAATGCATATAAGGCCGTGACTAAGTCATGCCCTGGACACATGATGGTGGATACTTTTACCTTTTCGGGAAATGCGGAGGTGGGCACTTTTCTTTCCTCCTTCCGTCATTTCAGTCCGCAATTCATCCCCTCGCATACTTTATCAGTTCAACCTTACTGGAGGACCATTTTCATGGCTGACTATTATCTATCGCCACTTATCTCATGGTAAGTGAGATTTCCCCTCACCTAATAGTGTGCCTCGGAACCAGATATTGGGGCAATGGAAAGGTGGGCTAACTGACCTCAGGTGAATTCACAAAGTACTGCCGCTGTTGATATGGCATGTTCACATGTAGGGAGAGATGGGGTCTCTGCTACCTTACTTCATAAGGCACATGAACCTGTCTCGGGCTACATCGTTGCTGCATAAATGTGGCCCGATTTGTGGCCATTGGATGAATGACATACGTCGGTGAAATGGGCCTCTAACATTACATCCTTGCAAGTCTATGACGCCGAAGATTGGCTCCTCATACCTTCTCAGAAGTACTGCACTCCCCTATCAAGTCGATCGCATCAAAGTACTCGATACGGGAGAGTATCCTTATCTTTTATCTGCATCTCCGCACCGAACGAAGTAAAAGTATTCGGTCACATTGCTCCTGAGTTCCCCAAACCAGCTGCGAATCCTGCAAATCCTTTATTTCCGTAATGGCCACACATCTGTCTTAGAGTATTAAATCAAGGTTACTTCCCAGTGGCCTCTATGGACAAATCTGTGACATCCATACCTTTGGACACGACACCCTGGTCTATGTACGAGATACGATACAAATGTGACTTCGCACTATTTGAGCCTGTGATAGCAAAAATATTCATATAATTTCTTTTAGTGCACCATATTGCATTTAAAGAGAGCATTATGGACGCACTCGATCGGCTAGATAATCTGTGGTTAGTGTGCTTCACTATTTTCGGACTAACTGGGCTATGTTACGCCCTGAATGGGTTGCAGAACATACCAGTTTGGCTTCGCTCAAGACTTCATAGCCTCCTAGATGGGGCCCACCGCAGTCGATATCACCGGAGAAGAGAACAGCGCAGTGTGCGGATGTTTTACCACCGCAGAGCCGGCAGGCCCTCACTGCAGTGCCGGGATTTGCGACAGGAATCAATGAAGTCTGCGAAGAGAAGGTTCTCAAACACATCCTTCCCATGACCACGGACTATAGGTCCTGCGAGGAAGACAAGTATACCCCAACGGGGTTTTCAATAGCTGAGATTAATGCCTTAGGGGACTTTCCAGACTATGCAAAGCTCAGCGGTGTGCCCTTGCCTCAGGAGTACCTCGAGTTTGAGATAAAAAAAGCGCTACCCAGGCCATATCGGCCGTTTAGATGGGGTTACCACCAGACAATGTGTACGTTTGCTCATTTCTGACTACAAGTGCCGCCACATAACCTGAGCAATACGTTAATAACCATGACAGCATTGACAAAACTAGAAACGGATTGGTGGATAGAACTCGAGAACACGTACGAACAACGGATTGCGCAACGGAAGGAGCTGTACGCGAAGTATGGGGATGCCGTCCTAGGCTGGCTCCCCGGATCAGAGCTGGCTTGTAAAGAGCTCATGGAAATGGTCCTGCAATTCATCTGCTCCCGGTATCCGCAGTACTTTTCCTTGGTAGGCAGACGTATCCTACATAATAGGATCTTGGGAATAGAACAGGATATTAAATCGAAGCATCCCCTTGAAATACTGCTCGACAACGTGCCCGAGGACTTTGGTGTGATGCTACGTGATGACACAACGGGTAACTATTTTTTGCGTGCTGGAGTGATCTGTTCTTCTTTGGGATGGAATATCGGCACCAAGATAGGACTTCAGCTTCATCAGATCCATGGCCCAGTTCCAGATTACAAAGAGAAGATGCAATTCTCCATGGATCGGTGCGTACCATGCCAAAACATCTTAATAACTGTATACTCACAGAGAACTACACAGGTTTTTCACCAAAATGCCGACTGACAAACCGATACAAAGAGGATCTTGGGGCCTTGAAGTTGGACAGCCGTTGTATATGCCCAAAGGGGACCCTCATGAGAAACTTCGACTTTACCAGGATCCCAATCTCCAGCTAGATGACTGCTATCTCAGGGTAGACTGGCAAACACTCCGCCGCCTTCCTCTCTCGGGGGCTATCGTATTCAACTTCAAGGCACTCTTCACACCTGTGACTGAATTCCGGGACGAGCCTGGCGTGCCCGCATTGGTAACCAAAGTCTTGAAGGAGGGCAGGAGAAATATAATGAAGTATAAGAATACATGGCACGTGGAGCATGTTATACTTCCCAAACTTGAAGCATGGGCAAAAGAACAAGAAGAGAATGGGCTCGTTCCCAAAGGTTGGGAGGTAGCTACACTGGATGACAGTCCATGGTATCAAAGTTGGCAGAAAAAGTGGCATCGCCAACAGGGCTTTTAGTGTCATTTGCTCATTAACTCTTCCCAACTCCGTATTCTTTGGTATGGTTTCTGATTTTCATAGATTCGGTGATACTGGGCGAAGCAGCCACATTGAGATCATTTGTCTGCGTTCTAAATTATTTAGGAATATGGTACAATGGACATAATCAGTAAGTGAAATCAACAAACTTTTTACAATTAAATAGCAAAGATGATTGGGTATCTCCGAATACTGCAGATTGTAACCAGAAATGGTACTATTCTCAAGCAGCAATGCCGTTTTTCCAATTCCCCACTCCCGAGCCGTAGAGCCCCATTCTCCCATAGTTAATGTCCCCATATAATCCATCTTGAAGAGGATGGCAATGATGCCGCGGCGTCTGTGTCACGACGCTCGAGGTATAGTCGATTGCTGCCTTGATAGGGCACGTAAGGTAGCGGGGTCAAATGAGAACCACACCTATTAAAAGGGTGCGGGGGGCTCAATGAGAATGACGGCTCATTGGAAACCTTCATGAGTTTGCACGAGTAGCCGCAGCCTCTGAGACCGAGCCGGCAATAGAAGCTCAACACCAATGTGATATTTGGCAGAGCCAAAAGGACGTCCGCAGCCAGCCGGTGGCCGTCTCAATCATCGCCGGCATCATCAGATGACCGAGCATCACTAGCCTGACCCTCCTCATTCTCCTCATTCTCCTCATACTCATTGTCCATCTCCTCTAACTCAGCAGCCAACGGGCTGATCCGTTCCTCCAAAAGATCCAAATCCTCCAACTGCTGTCGCGAAGGCAACTTCCACAGACTCGTACCACACACACGATCCTTGGTGAGGAGATCATCGATGAATTGGTCCACATACGTAAGAACGACCGAATCGCGCACGCGTCGCTTCAACTTTCGATAATCAAGAAGAAGCGGTTCTAGCGTCTTGTACACGTCCACCGCGTCGAAGGTCAAACGGACGTAAAATGCCGCTAAAGCCCGTAGGTACTTGAAGTCACCTTGTTGTTTGACCACACCGTTCTCGGCTTGCTCCGTCGCTGTCTGTTCCCCATCCTCGTCGTTGACCGGGTCGGTGAAATTTAGGTACTCCAGTACGATGTCCCGGTCTGGGTTTAGTTGCAGCATCTTGAATGCGAGACAGAGGAATGGCGTGGGCTTCTCGGAAACGCCGTACGTTCCTCCGATGGAGGTCAGCTCAACTGCGCGATCGCACAGCGTTGCGGCGTTCAATCCGAAACATTGTTCCTTCCAGTAGTAAGAGTCCGTGATGCGGTCGCGCACGGCTTTTTCGAATAGAGTGGCCGGATTGACACCGCGGACTAACGGACCGGAGTAGCCGCGGTTGTCGAGGAGGGAACTGGCATCAGCGCGGTGGGATGCCATATTTTCCGGGGTGAATTGGCGGACGAGATGAAGGGTTTGCGGAGAAAGAATAATGCAGATGAAAGATTGAACTGAATGATGTCGGAGTTGAGGCGATTGTCTTGGCGGTCGCGATTCTGCCAAGACAGGCCCTTATCGATAGTCGTACCGCCAACCGGCTGACTGTAAACACGAGATGAAACAGGTTGAGCGATCGATTGATCTTCACCATCTGGATTTTGACGTGTGAGTGGCATGATTGACGAGCGTACGAGTGACTATATTACCACTGAAAAGAAAACCACATATACCCCAGTCGTGGTATCGCAGCGTCCCATCTACGGTGCTTTTCATCTACACCAACCAACGGGCCATCCAATCTATACAACCACCACATACCAATGCAGATCCAGCAATGGTCCTCCTAACATCCTCCACGGTCTCCGTCATCCTCTCCTCGGGAGTGATCTGCATATTCACCTTCGTTCTCTTCCTCTCCGGCTACGTCCTCCAACAACAATCCGTCCGCAGCATCCAACACGCCATCAGACCCCCGCAACCACCAATCCACGGCTTCACCCACCATGGAGGCAACACAAAGCGCACACTCCTAGATAACCCCGACGACAACGACCACCACCCAAGAGGCAACTATGCCTACCTCCAGCTCCTCACCACGCCCGACCCCTCCAACATCTGTTCTGCAATCCTCTTCTTCAAAACCCTCTCAACGAACAACACAGCAATCCAAGACCGCCTCTTCATGTACCCCCAAGAATGGGACCAAACCCCACCCCACAAGCTCACCACCCAGGTCTCAACCGCCCTCTCCCTCCTGCGCACAGCCTCCCTGAAATACAACATCTGGCTCCTCCCCATCGACATGACAGCCGCCACCAGCGCCGGCTACTCCCCCACAGATACAAAGCTCCTCCGCCTCGGCCAGATCCAGTTCATGCAGTACGACTCCGTCCTCTACGTCCAAACACCCGGTTTGCTCCTCGACACGACCAAATTGGACTCCATGCTTCTGTCCAAGCCCTTGCCCGGCAGACATGACAGGAACAGGCCCGACTCGTATAATAACGAGGCCTGGATTCCGATGCCGCTTCGTCCGGACCGCGATGTGACTCTCCCGCCTGTGTATCTGGTTACCGTTAATAATGTGGGCGCGGGCCAGATCGAGGCTCGTGGGCATGTGCCGAATGTCGCGTTGCCGGGATTTGGGTCTTTGGTTACGGGGCCTTGGGGCGCAGAGAGGGAGGAGCAGCCTGGGTACGTTTTCTTTGAGCATGATGAGGACGGGCATGTTTCTTGGGCGAGGAATTCGTTGTTTGGACCTTGGAGGGCGGGGCAGTATGATGTTTGTGAGGGAATTGATTTTGATGATGTGCATGATGAATATGGGCTATGATTATGATTCTAATATATTTTTATTCTTTCCTGGTTTGCATGGTTACTGTTTGGTTTGGACATATCTGGTTGGTGTTCGTGGGTTCATATGGATGTAGCATATTGTACATTTCTTCTTTATTATAGTTTCTCTTTTTGGTTGGCTACATATACGGAATTACATGCAAGTACACGTTACTAGATCTCATTCAGTATTTACGAGATAGTGGATCTGGAAGGATATCATGGTATAACTCATCAGTCGTATCTTCAACATGACTCAACACAGCGCTATCATTAACATATTGCCGGTATATGCGTCAAAATTACATCAAACAGCAAGGCATCCCAGCAATACGCATACAAGCATGCTAGAGATACAGATAGTATACAAATCCACAGCTGACTACCGAGGAACGCCGATCTCGTACCCCAGTAAGACTTCGGTGGTACTGCCTTCCCAGCCTCTATTGCCACTTGTGGAGACCATGAACCGACAAGCTTGGTCGATGTATAGCTGTGAGACGGTTCCTGTTCGATGCCCCGGGATGATAAGGAACGGGACAGTTGAGTGACGAGCGACTTGCTCGTGTTTCAGGTCGTATAATCTAAGAATATCATGGGAGGCGCTGGAAGTGGGGGTTAGCTCATTGACGATTTTTGTAGTGTGTGATCAACATTGCCAAAGGCTTACCAGACTATATGTCGCCCGTTAGGCATCGCCCTGAGAGCCGTAACAGGCCCACTTCCCTGCGGGAATTTGAAAACCCGTTCAGGGTCTCGTAAGCCCTTGTGAAGGCTGAATTCTTCTACAGTTCCATTTCGACGGCCGGCGTAGATATAATTACCGTCAGGAGACCAGCATGCATTCATGCACCAGGGTGGTGAATTGCGAGGCGAAATGCGAGCAATGGGGTCCGGTTGTCGCCTGTCCCACACTCGGATAGTGCCGTCTATGGATGCGGCAAGGAAGGTGTTATCGGAAACATTCTTATCAGACTCTGTTTGTTGGCTGAGATTTTGCCTCTCGAGGCCAGGTTCCAATTCCTCCGCGTGAGGCAGCCCATTCATAATAGGCTGCGACGAGGCATTGACGGCCTCTGACTCACGAGTCACTGGTTGCTGAGGCGCCGCGACCTCCTTGATTTGAGCGCTTGTATCAACTGGAGCAGGCGCTTCAGGAGCACCATTTTGCTGATCTGACGGCTCAGGCTCACCAGGCGCATCGGCGTCGGGGAGGGTGCCATTGGCTAAAGCTTTACCAAATTCATCATCTTCATCTATGCCAAAGGCATTCCCTGATGCGCCTGCCCCTTCGCCTCCGGTGCCATCTGCATCCCCGAACAATGAATCCGCTCCACCGAAAAGTGAGTCTGCCGGTGAGCCCGCCTGCGGGTTTGATGAGTCGCCAACACCGCCTTGGTCGTTCGACGTATCCATGAAGTCAAAGCTATTACCACCACTCGCCTGATAATTCGATGAGTAAGTCCCATTAGGAAGCGGTGTCTCGGTATCCTTAGGAACTGGCAGACTAGATTCTGGCCGTAGGTCAATGGCTGAAATTTGTCTGGCACTGGATCCAAATGAGCGCCTAGTCTGGCCCGTATTCAGGTCCCAATCAAAAACTCGCTTATCCCAACTTCCAGACAGTAATGATTTCTCATCCGATGTCAGATTCAACACTGACACGGCTGAAGTATGCTGTTGTAGTAGAGCGATCTCCTTGCCCTCGTCATGACGGACGGATTGTAGGCGAATGGCACCCGATTCTAAGCCGGATAGTAACCACAATCCCTCACTATGGCTAGCTAAAGAATATACCGGTGACAGAGTGTTGCCGTCCATGTTTTCCCAATATGTCATTACCACGCCCGCCTTGATCACGCTGTCCACGAAGGGGTGCCGTTGCGCTACGGTTAACATCAACTTGCTATTGATCGACTCCACCCAATTGAACTTCCGCACGTATCCATCTGAGCCGCCGCTGAATACCCACCTCATGTCTGCAGTCGCCGTCACCGCATTAATAGATGTACTGTGGGGCGCAGCCGTCGTAGGGACTATATCGTAGGTAGAGGCAGTGAGACATTCGGACCGGACTGGAGGATGATACACAGAAACTGAATCATGTACAATGTTCACTGGGCCGGTCGTGGTCATTTCGACATCGGCGTTTGGTTGGGGTGCTACACCAGCGCTATCCGATACGTGACTGGCATTGGATTGGGTATCTGCGTCTTGGTCGGCGTCTTGGTCGGCGTCGGCATCGGCCTCGTTGTCGTTGTCGTTGTCGTTGTCATTGTCGTTACCGCCATCGTCAGCGTCTCGGAGGGTATCGTCCATTTCATTATCGGAGCTACCATCTTGCGAGCCTATACATCGCCAATCATTAGGCTGCTGCGATCTTTGTCAACGGTGTTACAGGGAGGCCCACCAGCAAGGTCTCTGTCATCATCATCTTCCCCGAACGAAGCCATTGTCTCGAGCGTTGAAGGTTCGAGGCTCGATTCTCCTAGAGCACGCGATCTCGAAGCTAGAAGTTATACCATATAACGTGTATATATAAGTAGCGAACAAAAGACCTCTTCTCAATAGCCCATCTCTCGGTGGGAACCTCCGCAATTCAAGGGTGCATGGCTTGATAGCTCGCACGGACTTTAGAGACAATGGGAACTGGGCGGTGAAATCAGTCGCACAGATGTTGCGCCTGGGGCCTTAAGGCAGACGCTATGGTATTGCGGCGCGCGGAAGTATATTGAAATCGGCAAGACGGACGGTGCCTTTCTTTATCTCCAAATCCGTTTATCGTTCTTTCCCCGGCATCAGTCACGTTGCCCGCCCACTTTCTGCCTGAGGCGGAAACGGCTTTCCATACTTAGCTAGTGTCAATATCAACCAATTACTACATTATGGTATGTTTGTTACATCATTTGGATATAGATGTCCCCCTACAACAAAATGTATTGCTTAAGGAAAGAGAAGTAAAGGAAGAGGAAATGTTTCAAGTATTGCTGACCAGGCAGCCTAACGACCTCGAACAGGAACAGTCCCTACAGGACCAAATAGTTATGGTTATTCAATAGCAACTAAAGGGAATGACCACTAAATTCCAATTGAGCAGAATTCCACCTCTCAGATTGAAATAGTTTGTGCCTCTTACTATTTATTTCCCTGTTGCACAATGTACATGTCGATATACTTCGTTATCCATCATATCAGGGGGCGTGCAGTCAAGAACACAGTGAAAGAAGTGACTCGATAGGTAAAAGTATGGCAAGCGATAGTGTCCTTTGAGCAAGGTATGCCTTTTCTTCTACAATGGAAAGAATCTCCTGGAGGGGCTTCGTCAGTAGCTATGAATATACGTTTGTGATCTCCTCCATTCACACTGGATTGAGAGCTGATTCGGAAGATCCCGATAAAGCTCCTCAGCTTAGTGAATCAAGCAATCTCGAAGACCGTTCTTTAACATCGAATTGGGCAATCTACGGAGAAAGGTAGATTTACAAAGTATTCTCGACTACATAACGTGGGGGTCAACGCTCTCTACTTTCCTTGTTGATTCCTGAATTGCCTGCCTATCTGGGCGAATACAAACGAGTCAACCTCACTTTCTCTTTCTCGTTTCCCTAACAACTCACCCTGAACCACCACCACCATCATCATCTATACAACTGACTAATTCTTAGTGGCAGCTTGCACAACATGAGACCATCGAGCGACTCTGATATTCCCGGTAAAGGCTTGTCTCATAAACAACCCGTGAAACCAGCAGTTCGCCCCGTTGTCCCCGTTAACCAAGATGTGAAAGCATACTTCGCTGAGGAAGCCCTCGATAACTCCCAGCTGTGGCTTCTAAATCCCGAAATTCCATCACCTGATGAGATCATGGGGACTGGATCTGAGACTGAATTCGTTGATCTGCTGCCAAACCGGATCGAGGGACCCTGGGGCTCGAAGGACGAGTACCTGAAAGCACACTATGAGTTGCTTAGAGAAGATGCAGTCGCTCCTCTACGGGACGCTGTAGCGTACATTCGAGAGGATCCAGAGATGAGAGACACAAATACCATATCAATCTACGAGAAGGTTTGTACCTACCCCTCGCTCAGCTTCGGTGGAGGATCGTCTAATTCGCGCGGCTCTAGGTGCACATTGTAGGCATTACTTTTACACAACAAGGAGTGGCGACTCGGATTCAATTTTCGACCATTAGATCGGGAAAGAACATTGTCTGGGAATATTCTAAGAGGCTAAGATCAGGCAGCATCGTCGCGCTTTCTCCGGCGGATGATTTGTTCAGAAACAAATGTGTCATTGCTGTCGTGGCAGCCCGACCACTGAGTGGTATAAAGCAGCATCCTCCAGAGATTGACATTTATTTCGCGCGGCCTGTAGATGCAGAGTTCGATCCTCACCAAGAATGGCTTATGGTTGAAGCCAGAGATGGCTATTTCGAGTCCATGAGACATACGATGACAGCTTTGCAGAAAATGAGCCGAGAAAAGTATGTTTTCCATCCTAATAAAAGTCTTGAAATTGAACCCAACAGTTTCAACAGGTTTCCACTCGCCGAGCAGATCTGCTTTCTCCATCCTAATACCGATACTCCCGAGTATGTCAAAGCAGATCCAGTCATGGACATACAGTCTGCTATCTGTCCATCTGGAGAAGAAGGCAAGGTTAATATCCTTGAAAATTGGCCTAAATACACAACGGGCGATCTGGATGCCACCCAATGGAGGGCTTTAGAGCAAATGCTTACAAAAAGCCTTGCCGTTATTCAAGGCCCCCCAGGAACCGGCAAAACATTCGTCTCTGTGATTGCGTTGAGGATTTTGCTCTCTAATATGACCCCAGGGGATCCACCTATAATTATTGCCTCTCAGACAAACCATGCTCTAGATCAACTCCTGAGGCACGTTTCTCGTTTTCAGAGTGACTACATTCGCTTGGGAGGCAGAAGTAATGACCTTGAAATTAAAAAGCGTACCCTTTTTGCCATTCGACAAAATGAACCCAATGCTACCATCCAAGGCAGTATTCTCGGACAGGCTCAAAGGCGATACAATAAATACCATCACATGATTGCTGATCTCTTGCAGAACTTCAGTGCCGAGAACGATGACAGTCCCCTTCCACCTGAGCTTTTCGCAAAGTATGGTCTACTGACTGCAACCCAATATGACTCTCTCACGAAGGGGGCAAAAGACTGGATACGGCCTAACAACGAAGAAGGTGACAATCCCTTACTATCCTGGCTTGGAGAGCAAGTGGTGCCATTCAAAGTGCAATACACAACTGAGAACTTTGGCTTCGAGGAAGATGAGATTGATCTAGAGTATGAACAGCTGAAAGAATTAGAAGCCGAGCAAGGGAATGAAGAGGATGACCATGAAGGTCTCAAAGGGCCATTCATTTGTATTCGGGAAAGATTCTGCGGACAGAGTGTTTCGGCCTCCGAGGAGACTAGCCGGAAGTATCTGAAGGAGCCCGACCTGTGGAAGGTACCTGTCAAAGCACGTGGAGGAGTATATAATACTCTCCGAAAGCTGCTCAAAGATAAAATCAGGCCGAAGTTCCAAAGCTTGGTTACACTTAATACAAACAATTGCAAAGACATCCGCATTGGAAAGTGGGAACGGGACAATCACCTCCTCCGGGATGCCAAGTTGATTGGGATGACAACAACGGGCCTTAGCAAATACCGAGCTCTTATATCAAGCTTAAAACCGAAGGTTGCTCTGATAGAAGAAGCAGCGGAAGTCATCGAAGCACCAGTAGCAGCTGCCTGCCTCGATTCTCTTCAACATATGATCCTTGTGGGAGATCACCAACAGCTCAGGGGGAGTTGCTCGGTACAGGACCTTCAGGGTGAACCGTTCTTCCTGGACGTTTCAATGTTCGAAAGGCTCGTGAATAACGGGATTCAATACGAGACTCTTAGAAGACAGAGGCGGATGGCGCCAGAGATACGCCGATTGCTGGAACCCATCTACGGCGAGCTTCACGACCACCAGTCAGTGCTTGAGCGCCCGAAAGTACCAGGAATGGGGGATGTACGATCATACTTCTTTTCTCATAATTGGCCAGAAAGCAGTGACAGCTTGTCATCGAAGTACAATGAGAAGGAGGCGGAAATGATTATAGGATTCTTCATGCACCTGGTGCTCAACGGCGTTGCGGTTAAGGATATAACGGTGCTTACATTTTATAATGGCCAGAGAAAAAAGCTTCTCAAACTGTTCAAGGAAAATCCCTATCTTCAGGGGCAGTATGTGAACGTTGTGACGGTTGATTCGTTTCAGGGAGAAGAAAACGAGGTAGTGATTCTATCATTGGTGAGGAGCGGCCGGCCTACCATTGGGTTCTTATCTATAGAGAACCGGGTCTGCGTTGCACTTTCGCGTGCCAGGAGCGGTTTTTATATCTTTGGAGACTCTACAACGCTTGCTGAAGCGGATCCCCTCTGGTGGCAAGTAGTGACCCTGATGGGGGGCAAGAACTCAAAACGAAGACTTGGTTTTTACCTACCTTTAACATGCACTAAGCATGAAAATGTGATATACAAGAAAGGTTTGTACATCCTACACCCTCTTAGTGGATTCTACTTATGGCCAATGTCAATAGATCCCTCTGAGTGGGACGCTGCCTATGGGGGATGTGATCTCCCATGCAATGAACATCTAGCCTGTGGACACAGGTGTCCTCTTTCATGTCACAGGTAAATTGAGCTGCACGAACCGTCTGAGCATCTAAATAATAGTACTAACTATGTGGACTTGTAGTTTCTCCCATGATCAAGTTAAATGCACTGAGGTCTGTGATCAACAGATGCGATGTGGTCACAGATGTGACAAATCCTGTTATGAGATTCACACCTGTTTCTGTGGGTGTCCATTGAACTTGGCGATCGAGTGTAACTCAGAAGCGACTGGAGTTCTGCGCTCTGGGAAGGATGAATGTATATTTGAGGAAGACAGTCACCGCCAGGCTGCCATTCTCAGCTACCAAGCCTTTGCAAACGGTGGATCCAAGGAACAGGACGAACGACTCTTCAGGATGGCTATGTTAAGCAAGTAGAGCGGATATCGAGTAAAGGCGACATGATGCGCGGCTTGGTGCAAACAGCACATTCGCATTTCCTATTCACGCTGGCGCCAGGGATGATGTAAAGTTATGATTGAAAATCTACTCTGTGAAGCTCGCACTCATGAATGTTTACTATTTGAGATCATCCATCTCTTCTCACCTCTTTCTCCAATGGTAGGCTACCTCTCATGCAGTATGCTCCAGAGCATCCCTGCGCCAGCCTGGCTTACTGTGCACCCCAAGGAGCAGTTGTTGGTAGCGGTGAAAATCAATTTACCTAGTATGTACAGTAGATCGTACACCAGAATCATGAGGTCTATAATCGTACAAGTTCCTCCACAAACTCCAACCCATGCCAAGAGAACGAAAGTACAAAAGTCCAGCTATGTGTCAAACGACTTCTGAATGGGAACGGTGGGTGTCGGCACTGAGACAGCGTCGAAACATCCCCTCACAGGCCCCTTGTCTTCTCAGGATCCATCTGGACCTCATCTCCACTAATCTCTTTGACGGACTCAAAGGCGGGTTTCCCAGCATATAACTGTTCAGGTTTATTCCGCTTCCCGCCTTCCATTTGGCTGGCGCCCGCGAGTGGCTGGTTGCCGCGGAATCGCTTGCGCATATCGATCAAACCCCGCCTGGTTGAAAATTAAGAGTTAGGGCTGGTTTCAGCATTTCAGAGGTCTTCCGCCGAGGATATGTATGACTCACTTGCACTCGCCGAACCCTTTCCGCAGCTGTTGGCATCGCATGGGCAGTGTATCCACTAGCGGCTCGCTCAAGCATTCACGGGGCGTGTGGCGCTGGACCATGATGCAGTCGGATTCCTGGAGGCATTGGGCCAATGCATCCCCTATACGATTATTTCAAAGCATGGTTAGACTAGGGGTGTCCTTTCAATGGTGGAGGGTAGGGAATATGTTGGCCGCAGGCTAAGCATGAGAGTTCGTGTCTTGGCCCCGGAAGCGACAGTCGGTCGCCCCGAATGGATTGATGATTGAGAAAGCTGGACAGTACTCACGGATGTCTTTGCATGAGTTCGGCATCTTGCTTACAGGTAGGGGATCCAGCCGACAAGGCAGAGGAAGGACGACCTGCCAATCACTTGTCCGGCGCAAAATTAGACTCCAGGAAAAGAAGGCAAAAATGGGGCCATCCCCGGATTAGATAAGCAGCTATCACATGAAAATGCCGATGACGTCTGAGCGTTGCCTTTTCTTGGAATTTCTTTTACTTTGGGGGGTTTCGGAGATCTTCCTTCATTTCGCTTCCTGGCGCATTTCTGCCTCGTCCCCCATCATGGAGTTCAGGCCCCGGGTGGTGCGATAGACTTGTTCCCCTTCCGATCCTCAAGCTTCAGCTACAAATTCGTTCATCATGGCGCGCATGCCGGTGATTGGACGATTGTTGTGGTTTGAATATCTGGCTCTGTTCGCTTCTTTGATTCTGGTATTGCTCGAATGGGTCATACATATAATTACATTTTGTCTGCGTAAGTTAGATGCGTCGCCTTGACGTTCTCAAATCATTCGCTGACCTCCGACAGCGGAAACGGTAATCAAGTTCTTCTACGACCGGTCGAAAACTATTTTCAACCTATTTATAACTCCTGAAGATGAAGGCAAGCGCAGTAAAGAAGAACGGATCGCCGCCGCAGTCGCACAGGCCTCCGACTTTGTAGATATATGTGCTCTGTTTGGCTACCAGACCGAGGAGCATATTGTCCAGACCGGCGATGGCTACCTGCTCGGCCTCCACCGCCTGCCTACCGGCGAGGCGAGGAAAAGATGCGCGTCAATCAAGGAAAAGGGGGCGTCCGGAAGAAGGTTGTCTTCCTCCATCATGGACTCATGATGTGCAGTGAGGTGTGGGTGTGTTTGTCAGAAGAACAACGGTGTCTTCCCTTTCAATTAGTGGAAAGGGGCTATGACGTGTGGTTTGGAAACAATCGCGGCAACAAGTACTCCAAAAAGTCCGTGCGGTTTTCGCCCGGATCTAACGAATTTTGGGACTTCTCCATCGATCAGTTTGCCTTCCACGATATCCCCGACAGCATCAATTATATCTTGGATGTCACGGGCCAACCTTCTCTCTCGTATGTCGGGTTCTCGCAGGGCACCGCTCAGGCCTTTGCGACACTATCTATCCACCCGCTGCTGAACCAGAAGGTCGATGTTTTCGTGGCTCTTGCGCCCGCAATGGCGCCTACAGGCTTGCCAAACCATTTCGTTGACTCGCTGATGAAGGCCTCGCCGAATTTCCTGTTCCTTCTCTTCGGCCGTCGTAGCATCCTCAGTTCCACGACGATGTGGCAGACGGTCCTCTACCCGCCTATCTTTGTTCAGATTATCGACAAGTGTCTTCACGGACTCTTCAACTGGAAATGCCGGAACATCAGTCGCTGGCAAAAGCTAGCGGGATATTTACATCTATTCTCCTTCACCAGCACCAAATCCGTGGTCCACTGGTTTCAGATCATCCGACACAAAAACTTTCAATTCTACGACGACGAGGTTCATGCTCCATTTAGCATTGTGGCTAGCGAGCGATTCTATAAGCCGGTCAAGTACCCTACGAAGAACATCAAGACGCCCATTGTGCTTCTGTACGGAGGCAATGACAGCCTCGTGGATATTAACGTGATGCTGAAGGAGCTTCCACGCGGGACCACGGCCAGGATCATCCCGAAGTACGAACATCTCGATTTCTTGTGGGCTGCAGACGTAGAGCAAGAGGTGTTCAGCCATGTCTTCGAGGCTCTGGAACGGTATAGCGGCATCACCCAGCTCGAGGGGCCGGTGACGGGCCTGATCAATGGAGATGCGGGGCATGCGATCGCGATTTAGGCGATAGAGATGCATTAGATAGCATGAGCTATATATGATTCGTGCAAAGTATATACCGGCGCGTACCCGGACTGCGGTTGGTTTGTCTATCTATAATGGTGGTTGTTAATACCTCAATATTAGTTGTATATTTCGCTTTCTTGCTCTTCTTTGCTTTCCCGTTCCTCGACACAGGTTGCAACCGCCATCGCTTGTTTGTTGCACAGCACGTAACTCGAGGCCGCTATAGTATCTCATATTATGATATCATCCACGCAATCGAAGTAGGGCAATGACCAGTCGCACGCCGTTCGACCTCGCTTGACACACCGTGTGGGCCGTCGAATGTGATACATTGATTTAAGGTCAAACTGACGTCCCGGCATTCATTTAGACTACTGGTCAGAGCCAACGCCCCCCTACTCATCTAGCGTCGGTATCAAGTTACATCTGTCGTTGGAGTTTGCCTCCTGGAAATGCCTCCCGTTCGACCTATCGACCGGCCCATCACATGAACCCTGCGTCGTACTTCTTGCACCCAATCGTCGCCCCCTGGATCTCCCGGTCGAGAGCCCGGCCATTGATTTGTTTTGGTGCCTGACAGCGTGAGGTGGCTAGTGTCTTTGGTCCGGACTCAATCCCTCTCGTCCGGGAGGAGGGATGGTGGGTTTTTCATGTGCAGGGGAGCCGAGGGAGTGTCAAAGGTGACAGGTAAAGTGAACCGTTTAGCTTAAGCGATTGATCGAGGACAAATGGTGTTTCAGGATATACGGAGGAACGGAGAAGGGGAAGGGGGAGGGGGGAGGGGGAAAAAGAGGGATTCACCGGCTAAATGGGACGTTGTTATATCTCGAGGGCGATTCCTCCCCCCTTGTCTGAAGTTGTCTATATTTCTAGAAGCTAATGCTTTCCCGTCCATCAAGGGAGAGCTAAACTTATTTTGACAGGACAGCGGTTTTACTCTTACATACTTTGGTACGTTGTCTACTCTTTTCTTTTTTTGGGGGGTTGTTTTTCTAGTTCTGTATCGTCGTTCTGTCAATAGTCCATTCGAATTTTTGGCAATCGGTCAGGTTGGGAATGGTTGGATGGAGCTCCGAAAGCAGATCATCACGACCATCACTTCCAATGATTGACAACCCCGAGTCATGGCCGAGTCGGATAATTCATTGCTTTCCTTTCGTCTCCTGCAGATACCCTGGTGGAATTATTGGGTCCCCCCAGACTGAGCCAGGTGACCTTGATTTGGAGGTCATAATGACTATTGTTTTCGAGGATCTCCAACCACCGAGACTATCCTATCTCCAGGGAGAAGAAGGGAGCCCGCAGGCATTCTATCGATAGTGGTCTTCCTTGTTTTCTTTTGGTCTTTTGATTTCCTTGATTTCTTGATTTTTATAGACTGTTTGTTGGCTTGTTTTCTTTTTCCCCGGTTGATTTTTCTCCCCTTCTTGATCCGTTGATGGGATTCCCCCCAGCCCCCTTGAATCCTGATAGTGGATGTATTTTCGTTGATATTTGTTTATTTTTATTTTTATTTTCTTTTCTTTTCCATTTTTATTTTTTTTTCTTTTACCGGAATGAACGCAAAGAAAGAATGAAAGTGCCAACGACTGGGACTAAAGGGGGTTTTCTAGGGTTCTCTAAACCATTATCGGACTGGCAGCGATTGATTGAGGAAAGTCCCACGAGAGTTAATCCTTTCCAGGTTTAAACGCTGCTGGCTTAAGGTTTCGTGCCAATTGTTGCGCACATTTGGGAAGCCTTTTCTTGTTTTTTTTTATTATTTATTATTATTTTTTTTACTTTGAACTGATGATTATTTCTTTTCGCTCACACCGCTTCGAGTGTTGACAAAAGTGAAAAGAGAAAAAAAGGAAACAATTAGGAAAGGGAATAATATCAAAGGAATAATCTGAAAAAAAAAAAAGAAAAAGGTAACGAACTATACACGTTAAAGTTGTCTCCCAAAATGAACCAAAGGATACTGTGATTGGAACCCAATTGAATAAAATGAAATCTCAGGGTGAAAAACAAAATTAAAAAAAAAAAGAACAAGGGAATTACAATTTTTGTATCTCATTTATTTCATTTCATTTCATTTCAAAATTTTTTTTTTTCCTTTGACATGAACCTCCGACTCGGATCCTTTCCACCCTTTGCCAATTCCTCATAAGAAAAGAAAAAGAAAAAGACAAAAAAAAATCTCCCCACAACCGCTGACTTAGCTTCTAGTTCGGTCTTTAGTCTCCGGAAATCCACCCGAATTTCTGTTGACATCAACCGTTTTTCCTGCGCTCGTCTTCTCCGACCCCCTTTGAACCCTTCCTTCGAATCCAGTGATTGCCTCAGGTTCGGTG